GACTGGCAAAATGCGGGAGGAACTTGGAGATGTTGGTGAGACGAGGTAGGACGTCGGCTGGGGAGGTAGATGTACTGGAGTTGGAGGAGGGAAGGATGCTGGAGGTGGTCTCGGCTGCTTCGACGGATTGGGTGTCGGGGTTGAAGGCGAGGATTTTGTAGACGGTTGGTCCGGGGGTCTGAGTGGCAGTCGTGGTGGTGGACTCAGCGGGTTGTGGTTCAGAGGCAACAGAAGATTTGGTGGTCTGGGCGTCTTCGTAGGTAAATGCTTCGAGGGGGTTTTCCTCGCTGGCAGTCTCATACACGGGTGTCTGTCCCTGAGCGGCAGCGGCGTACTTGCCATCGGGCTCATGGCTTCTGAAGGCACCGTACTGGAACAGCTCCTCGGACAGCTTGGCCTCGTCCACCGCGTTATTCTCACAATGAGCAGACCAAGCTGCTTCCAATTCCGCGTCACTAGCGGGCTTCTTGCGCTCGCGGAGCTCCTTCAACACCGAAGGTTCGGATCTTGGCTCGGCGCGCGCCATCTGAGCAGCGTACTTGCCATCCGGCTCATGGCTGAGGAACGGCTTATCGTACGAGTCCAGATCTTCGTACTCGGAGAAATTGGTAAACGATTTCTCCTTCTTGTACATGCCATCCGGTTCATGGGCGCGGAAGGCACCATAGCTAGATAGCTCGGCAGGATCGTACTCGGAGTAGTTGGTGAACTCCTTTTCCTTCTTGTACATGCCATCGGGCTCGTGGGCGCGAATGCCGTCCTCATACTGAGCTAGTTCGGCGGGGTCGTATTCCTGGGTATTGGTGAACTCTTTCTGCTCCTTGTACATGCCGTTGGGCTCATGGGCACGGACTGCTTCGTACTGGGCTAGCTCCGCCGGATCATATTCGTCGTAGTTGTTGACGGCTGTTTCCTTCTTGTAAATGCCGTCGGGCTCGTGAACCCGGACCGAAGTGTATTCTGCCAATTCGGCAGGGTCGTACTCTTGGGTATTGGTAATTCCCTTTTCCTCCTTGTACTTGCCATCAGGCTCGTGGGCACGAACGGCGCCATACTCAGCGAGCTCGGCTGGATCGTACTTCTCCTCGGCGGCGACGTCCTTGTACTTGCCGTCAGGTTCATGACTACGAACAGCGCCGTACTGGCCCAGTTCCGCCCTGTCGACATCTTGCCCCGAGGGCTGCTTGTATTTGCCATCGGGCTCGTGACTGCGAATTGCGCCGTATTTGCCCAATTCTGTCTTGTCGACAGATGCTTCGGGAGTGTCCTTGTATTTCCCGTCGGGCTCATGGCTGCGAACGGCGTTGTATTGTCCCAGCTCAGACTGGTTGGCGACTGGTTCGGCGTTGTTGTACTTGCCATCAGGCTCATTTGCCCTAACAGGTCCATACTTGTTGAGCTCACCAGGTGTCGCTTCTTGTTCCTTGACGGTCTCAGTTGCCTCATAAGCTACCGGTTGCGGCTGAGACCCCAATGACGGCACGGTTGTGGTCGCGGCAATTCCCGTGTTAGGGTGCCAAGACACTTCGGCATTATTGGATGAGAGAGCGTTCAACAAGTCAGGGGCAGGCGTGTCCTTGACGAGCACATCTGAAAGAGTGGTAGCGGATGTTGGGTCAAGCGGGTTCCATGGTGCGTCGTCGATATTGACCTGGCTATAGAGCTTGAGCTCTGCCTCTGGAGGTGGGCCGTCATAGAAGATGGGTTGTGAGGCGTCAAGAGCTGGAGGGCCGAGGTTGGAGAACTGAGATGTATACGGACCAGATGACGGGGCCTTGCTGTAGAGACCGAGTGTCGCTGATTTGAGGATCTTGCGATTGGTGATAGGGTCAATCACAAATTCAGAGTCCGCTTTCCCCGACCTGAACTTGCTTTTGTTACCCCGATGGCGCTTCGACTTCTCGAGAGGAGCCTCTGGCTTTGTCTTTGTCTGTTCCTTGGCGGCTCCGAATAACAAGTCCTCAAGGGGTGCACGTTCAACATCTTCAATGTTTTGGCCTGGACGAATGCCGGTTGGGTTGTTGATGGTGTTAGCAGCGATTTCTTGGTCGAGATGTCTCCGCGCAGCATTTTCCTGTTCAACGGGGTACCAATAGTCCTTGGACATGCGCTTGATAGTCGACTTGGCGTCATCGGCAAGGGGGTGTTGCTCCCATGAGAGTCGGCGATTCAACGTCTGGAAGTATTTGTAGCGGATTTTGCGTTGGCGTTGGCAGACATCTTGAGTGTATTCAGGGTCGAGGTAAGATGACCACGTGCGACCGAAGCGAAAGCCTCGTGTTTGCTGGTGTTGATGGTGTTGATGGCGAACTACAGCCGCGCCGGAAGCCAGAGAGGAGGCCTTGGCCCAACCGGCACGGTAAGTGGGGGTGGAAGCGGAAGTCAACGACATGGCAAAAATAGCGTTATGAGGGTTGAAGCTGAAGGGACATTTCTCAGTCTAACGGTAAAACTGGTGGTTTGAGTTTATTGTCAGTTTTATGGACTCGGAAGAGATTGAGGAAAAGAATGGAGCAATGCATCTGATATGTGGCACTGCAACCAACAATGCTGTTATGCCATGCGGGAGTAGTCGGAGGAGCGGGCACTTACACGACAAAGACGGAAGTGGTCAATGCTAGGCTTGAAGGGTATAAGTGTCAATATGACGTTGACGATGACACTTTCAATGGCTTCCCCTTCCGGTGACCCAAGTGTTACCACACTGTCACGAACTGTTTTGGAGAAAAGATGTGGTGGTGGGTGGGACGGAAGTTGTGCGGTGCCACCACACTATGTAGGAACACGACTAAAAAGTGAGTAGAAACTTTGAGGAAGGACAAGCCAGAGGAGAATATAGAGGAGCGAGAGAAAGGAGAGAGTAACACGATGGGCACACGTTGGGAACCATTGTAAGTTTTAAAGTTCGAAGGAGAGGGACCACAATCCATTCATTCAACCGTTCCCCGGTCTCCCATGCCAAGTATCCAAGGGCGGCAACCGAAAAAGGGACCCGCTTCACACAGAGGGGGAACACGCTCCTACCAAACTGGGAAGCGACACACGGAGATCAGGAAGACGATCCGTCCAGGGAACCAAACATTGTTGCAGCCATGGCGGCCACGAGTCTCCACGACGGCTTGGCAGCAGGAAACAGACTTGCAGGACGTGTGACTTTTGCAGACTGTGCGAGAGGGAAGACGGGATTCGGCATCAAGAGGTTTTGAAAATCAGCCAATCTTCTGGACGGACACGAGGGGAGAAACGGGGGAAGGTATCTGGGGATATGCTGAAAGAGGGGGTAAACGAGGGGGGACATTGGAGACCCCAACACTCTTTTCCACATGTCCATCTATTGAAGACATGGCCAGGGGCTTGACAGGGTGGACCCCTTTCTTGTCCTGAGTCGATTCTGACCAAAGAGATGGCATTGCCCTCCGCCTTGTTCGCTCTTGATGCTCCCGTCACAGTAAGACATGGCCCGACGTTGCTCAAATCAGAAGCCTCTTCCGTGGATGTGAAGCGTATGAATGGCCAACGGCAGCAGTACCCTTGCCTTCCTGTCCAGGTCTCGCATTCATTATTTCAATACATGCAGTCCCGTCAAGCAGAGCGAAGCAATGTTGTCCTTTTAACTCCAAGTCCCTTCAAACAGCCTTGGACCCTTTCGGCGTTTTCAACTGTACATTCTACATATGTTTGCGGGCATGTGCATGCGAGTGACATTGTGGCCAGACTTTTGGCGAAGAGATGAGCTGAGGAGACGGACCGACACCGACCCTTCCTGCGACCTGCGACACAAGGACCACTCCAAATCTCGATGTCAATGAAGAAGAACAAGAACCGGTTTGAGCGCTGACGTCCACGGTGGGTTCTCTCTTTCCCACGATGTTAGTGTTGGTGGAGCAAACCCGTGGCATCCGGGGAAGGCCAGTTACCACATGCATCGTGCGCGGAGAGCGCTAAAAAGCGACAAGGCCGCCGCCCCGCTTGCCACCAGAATGGGTCAGCGCCAAGACAAGAACAACAATTGCTTGAAGGTCGGTCGGTGATGGTCGGTCAATGTGAGAGATTGGAGGGTAATGATGAGCATTTGCGCCCAACCATCTGGTCATCCGCCATCCCATCCAATTTTCCATTTCACGATGGCTTCGGTCTTGTGGTGACTTTTTGGAGAGTGTCACAACTACGTAGGCGAGGCCTCCTCAGTTGGGTCACGATGGCTTCACCTTTTCAGAGCTGCCTCTGTTTACAACCCACAGCATAAATGCACGAGCCAGCTACGTCATCGTCCCAGCAACAAAAACAACACGAAAATAAAAGCGCTTTCTAGAAAGGAGAGGAAATATGGTTGTTGCTCAACAAAAAGGGAACATCCCAAGACACTGTTGACAAAGTATCAAATTGACTGATCTTTCGCCTGCCTGTCAGCTGCTACGTATCTGGGCGTCCATCCGCATTGGGCTGTGCAGAAGAGTCAAAGAGGTTATCCGACCTGCCGATCTTCCGGCTTGTCGTCGAGTCTCTGAGGAGCTTTTTCCGGAGTACCGATGTTCGATCATTAATGGACAAAAGCAGTAAGAAAATCGGCAGGCGAAGATCAGAGACCGACTCTGGGAAACCATGATTGAGAGGTGAAGCCCCAACGAGTTGTCAAAACCTTTAGAATAGGTCCAGGTTGTATAAAAACAAAGGATATGTTTATACACCGAAGGATTGTGAAAGCCCGTTGCATTAATTCCATTTCCGACACACCCTGCCGAAACTAAGTGGTGCACGTCGTTCACAGGTGTTAGTGTTTGTGTGGGTAAGATGTAGTCAGTACTAACACCGTGGGCTAAAGTGCCCCTCATCACGTGCACCGCGATTTTATGCTCCAGCAAATAACAGCTACCCCACCATGGCCGATGCAGGAACCAGGAAAGGTAGACCGAGAAGGAAGTCGTGAAGCATCCCGTCATACCGGCAGGCGCATCGCCGTAATCACAGCGGTCGTAACAGCCAAGACAACAGTGCAATGGTGCATTGAGTTTTTTGCACCGAACAACTTCAAACTTTAATGCATCACGGAACATAATCGCGGGCTTTGGACAGGGTGCCCCATTCTTTTCATTTCTTACTCAAAGCTAGGTTCTCTGGCTTTAGCTTTCATCTCTTATCGACACGAGTCGGCTTCGTATTGCTTCCCCCGCCATTAGTCGATCCTGGTCACTGAACTGCCTCCCCTCCATACACCTCACAAGTGTCGACACATAGTCGTCATGAAGAAGGGAGCATTTGGCTCCGGCGGCTTTGGCGCCTTCTCGTCGTCCACAGCATCGCTGTCCTACGTCGCTCCGCCTCCCGACCTCTCCAGCCTCCCCCAAGACGTCATCGTACCTTTCAAGAACCTCCTCAAGCGAGACAGCACAACAAAGTCCAAGGCCCTCGAAGAGATACTGGCATGCGTCAAGAAGTCCGACGAGCCCGTCGACGACTCCGTTATAGATGTCTGGGCCCAATTATACCCCCCCGCCGCGTCCGCGAACTCTCCCACAACCTCCTCCTCGAGCTCGTCAAGTCAGCAAAGAAACGTATCGAAAAGACCCTACCGAAACTTGTCGGCCCATGGGTTGCTGGCACTTTCGACAAGGACAAGGGCGTCGCCCGCGCTGCTCTGGCCGTCTCGGCTCACATTCTCGACTCGGACCAGAAGAAGGCAAAGTTCTGGATCGCGTTCCAGGGGAAGCTCCTAGAATATGCTAACGAAGCCATCCGAGAAACAGTCGACTCTCTTAGTGATGAGAGGACGACATCGAAGGAGGACATGGAGGCGAAATACTACCGCGTGCTTGGGAGTAGTATGGCTATGATCCAGCACCTGTTGCCCACAATCAAGGACGACCAATACCCCGACGAACTGAAGCGCTTCTTCGACGCCGATACTCTTTGGACCCTGGCCGCCTCCGATGATGCCTCTGTACGCCGCGCCTTCTACCAGCTCGTCGCGAGTTACCTCGACAACAAGCCTAGTCTGTTGGAGCCCAAGTTGAAGGATGTCGGCAGGGCATTGGTGGCCGAGAGCCCCAAGAAGGATCAGAGGGGCTCGGCCGTGGATCTCCTAAGGGCATTGATCAGCGTCACAAAACGTTTCCCAAAGGTTTGGGGTAGTAAGAGTCCCTTGGATCGCCTAAGGCCTCTGGTCCAAAAAGGTTCTCAGGGAGGCTCGGATGAATACTGGACGGAGCTGGATCAGTTGCTTGTTGTTTTGTCAACATCTTCCCCAGATTACGCTGCGACTACCTCGGCATTTCTCAAGTCCATGAGAACCGCCATTACGAGCCGTGAGGAGCGCCGTCAAAATACCGCGTCTGCTTGGGCTTGTTATCTCAACACTGTCGATCGTTTTACCGCAAGCTCTACGCCAAGCCCGGAATTCCTTCAGGAAAACCTATACCCATTAACTCAGGAATACTTGCTTCCATCTGATAAAACATCGGCCTGGGCTTCTGCGCAGCCTCCACACTTGCTCAAGGCATGGAAGATCGTACCATACACAACAAGCGAGGAAGTGCGGTCATCAGCAAAAGAAGAATGGCAGAAGCTCGGTGACGACTTTGCCACGGATCTTTCCAACTCTCTCCCTGAAGTTTCCCCCGATTATGAAAAGTCTCAGTGGGAGCTGGCAGCCATAGGTGAACGCTGGTTTAATCTAGTAGAAGGTTTCTTGAGGGGGGCGCCCAGTCAACAAACCTTCGATGGAGATTCCGATCTGCCAAGTCTGGTCGCTTCGACCTCAAGCAAACTGTTGGATAGCGCACAAGATCTTCTTTACAGGCGAAACTACAAGCCTTTCTGCGCTGCGGCTGTTCTAAAGGCCGCCTTCACCAAGGTTCCAGGCCTCTGCGCCAAGAGCGATTTGATCAAGAAGATTTTCCCACTCGGCGACCAAGAAGCTTTCGAAAAGATCGTCGTGTCTCGATCGTTCCCATATCTGGCGTCTTGTTTGGCTGCCGTTACTCAAGACCAGCCTGACTTCTCCGACCAAGTCTGGGCAAAGCTTATCGACGCTGCATTGAGCCGTGGCTTTCCTTCCGGTGCGCCAATCGTCAAGGATCTGGTGTCTGTCCCCCTTCCCCAGGCCGTTGCGCAGAAGAACGAATCACTTCAAAAGTTTATTGTTGAAGCCTGGCATGATTTTGCCCAAGAGGAGCCTTCATCTCCCGTTGTCGCACAACTTTGCAAAGCCAGTATTTCTCATTCCATCTTGGATGGCAGTGCGATACAGTCTCTCGCTAGCTCGTTTGCGCAGGACGTTGATGTACCCGGGAAATACGATCCAGAGTTCAAGGCTCTCGAACTTCTACTTCGCAGCAATTCAGCCCTGTTCGGAGATGCCCCTGTTGATCTGTTCATGAAGCTCTTGTCCTTGGAAGAAACGTCCGACTCCGAAAAGGCAAGCAAGGTTGCGGCCATAAGGTCACTTATCCAGAAACAGTACGGTGCGGACAAGTTGTGGCTTGAAGTCATTCGCCGTAGCTTGGCTGATGCCGAACCATCGTCTCTTGATATCAACACCTTGGTCCGTCATGCCAAGGACATGTTGAGATCTGGTATTCCATTGGCTGATATTCTCCCACCGGCAAAACATGGAATACCGAGCTCTATAGCTTCTTGCGGGATGCCCCAGATCCTTCCCTATCCATCACTAGCAGCTTTGGTGGTGCCTACTTCCTGGCGACGGAGGGCAAGGGTAGTACCCCAACGACCCAGAAAAGGGATCGCCAGGGCCGATCGATTCCTGCGAGGATGGCCGTATACACCACTCAACTCCTCAGGGATGTAGAGGTGGAAAAGCTTCCGGTCGACCTCCTGGAGCTCATTTTCCTGACTGGTGTTCTTGCAAATGACGACTTGACTGTCATGAAGGAGAATGGGCTGTGGAGTTTGCATGCCACTGAGGAGACCAGAACCGAGAGATCTGATGAGATTCAGTCTTTCCTGGGTCTGGGTACCACGCTTCTTGCCCGAGTGGCCGGGGCTTCGACGGCCTGGAAAGACGGTGATCTCAATGGAAACAGCTTGGCAGAAACCCTCATTCAGTCCTTGCTCCAGAAGGCTGTAGACTTGAGTTTCAAGTCACTTTACGCATCCAAGGCCCTCACAGAACTGCTGCAGGCTCTTGTGAGCGTGCATGGCTACCCCGTCGGCGTCAAATGTGACGAGTGGTTCAACAAGCTTGGTGTTATGAAGGCCACGCCGCAGACCGTCTTTGCCGCCATCGCCTTCCTTATCGGGCTCGACGAAGGACTTTCTTCATCCAGAGCTGTTGCGAACCTTTACAACCGCCTTGTGTCTGACATTGTAGGATGCTTCCCATCATCGCCGAAAACCCTGTACAATATGGTTCTCCTGACCGTCTGCCTTTCGGTGTACCCTCCAGCAAAGACACCGGTTGAGCAGCGCAAACTCGTCTTCGCTCTTAAGCAGTTCAGTACGTGGGTGCAAACTTCCGACGAGATGACGTTCGGTCTTACCGCCGAGGTGTGCAAGGGCATTCATAGGATTTTGCCCAATGTCGCCCAGGTGTATGGGCCGTACTGGCGGGAAGCCATTGATTACTGCCTCTTGTTGTGGGAGAAGGCCAGGAGCGATACCCCTCAGAGATGGCCCGCCTACGTTCTGCCCTCCATCAGGCTCATTTCAGCAATGGAGACTTTGGAGGATGCTAACGATGACCTTGTCGAGGCCTTGGAAGAGACCGCACTCGACCGATCCAAGGCACTTATTCGGCTACTTGAATTGCCTCATGATGTGGTTAACACAGCTCGTCGAATCCTCGATGAGACACTCTGCAGGGTAGTCCAGAAGATCCCCCTGAAGCATCTCACCTCTGAGGAGGATTTGTTGTCCAACCTTTACGGGTTGTTGTCTTCCGGCTCACGTGACGTTCAAACAGCTGCATTCAGTCTGCTGCACCGGGCCCTGCCTGCCAAGCAAGAAGAGGAAGTCTTGGAAACTCTTCTTGAAGAAAAGGGTATGTGTTTCCGACCTGTTCCACTTACAAGTGTCCATATATACTGACTTTTAGCAGCCGCCAAACTCCCGGATGAGCTCCTCGCCCTCGTCCAGTCCGTGCCGGCATTGGAGAAGTACACTGATGAGGAACTTGCGGTCTTCCCTGTGGATATTCGCGCTTACCTCCTTGGCTGGCACCTCGTATTCGATGCGTACAACCAGGCTCCTCTTCAAGTCCGCAAGCAATACACGGAATATCTTAAGGCTGACAACTCCCTCAACACTTTGCTGGAGCTGATGTTCGATATCCTCGGCCACTCCGCCGGTCAGGCGCTGAACCTCGACAAGAGCACCTTCAGTGTGGAGCATATCCGTTCATATGACATCACCCAGTCCGACGAAGGATCCCCAGAGCGCGACATGCAGTGGCTACTCGTCCATCTCTTTTACCTCTCGCTCAAGTTCCTCCCCGGCCTCGTCAAGTCATGGTACCTCGACTTGCGCAGCAAGCAAACGAAGATCGCCCTCGACTCATGGATGGCCAAGTACTACGCCCCGCTCCTAATCTCGGACGCCCTTGACGAAGTCAACGACTGGGCCTCCTCGCAAGAAGCGCCGCAAGAAGATGAAAAGGAGCTCCGCGTGCGCGTCAATCGTATGGCTAAGGAAATCTCAGCCGGCTACGAGATCGATGAAGAGTTCGCCTCCATCGCCATCAAGATCCCCGCCGGCTACCCGCTCGAGTCGGTCGAGGTCATCGGCGAGAACCGCGTGGCTGTCAACGAGAAGAAGTGGCAGAGCTGGGTGCGCGCCACGCAGGGCGTCATCACGTTCGCCAACGGCAGCATCACGGACGGCTTGGCCGCCTTCCGGAGGAACATCATCGGTGCCCTCAAGGGCCATACTGAGTGCCCCATCTGCTATGCGGTCGTGTCGGCTGACAAGAAACTGCCGGATAAGAGGTGCGGTACCTGCAACAACTTGTTCCATAGGTTGTGTCTTTATAAGTGGTTCCAGAACAGCAACAAGAATACCTGTCCGTTGTGCCGCAACCCGATTGATTATTTGGGGAGTTCGACGAGAAGGGGTGGAGGTGATTAAGGGGTCAGAGGTTAGGAGTTACTGTGTGTATGGCACCATGTATGGCACCAGCGCTTTTCTGTGTGTTACTGGATAGTCATGATTCTGATAGGCATGAATAATACATCAGCATCTGAGCCAAATATTTCAAAGATTGTAAGTCGGACGCAACGAGTTGTACGTTTAGTTGCTATGGTAAGTGCCATGTTTCAAGAGCGTCGTATCTTCCACATCCGTCCGCTGTGTACACTCGTCCTTTCCTTATAAGTTATCGACAGTTTGTTTTTTAAGTCTTGAAGCCGTTTTTATGTTCCTGGCATTGTTACCAGTTGGGTAGGTAGGTCCGAATCCTTGATAAGAAAGGTCTGAGAAAAGAAAACTGAAGTCTCAACAGAAAGAAGTTCAACTTGGAGGCGCAGCAGTGGCAGATCTAGCCCGGGCAGTATTTAATGTCCCGCCGCAGGTATTGTTGTAAAACTGACCACACTCTTTACAGTTATAACCCCGGCCGGGGATCGAACCTGCAACTGGACAATGCCCAACAAACGACGGCGGGAGATGCAGAGCTGGCAGCGGTGCTAGTACTGACTGCCCTGTGCCATGTGACCAAGATTGAACTGGTCGTTGGCTTGTGGTGTTGGAAGGAATTATGGGACGGGACCTTGAAAGGCAGGAGTCACTGGGTGGTTGCGAGGAAAGAATGGGATGAGAGGGAAGGCACGGTATTGCAGGCAGGTAGGTACAGGCAGGTAGGTACAGGCAGGTAGGTAAAGGCAGCGTGGCATCAAATCAGCCTTTCCTATATGATTCCGATCCGTTCCTTTCTCACCAGTCTACGGGCTGGACCTCTTCAGTATGGATCGCTCATCGTTTGTCCTGTTAACAACAAACAAAGCTTCAAAGTGAAGATTTGAGATCGGGCAACGCTCCGAACAACATGTTTTGTGTCACTCACCTCGTTTGATGTTTCCTTCCATGCCAAAGATAACCTATCATTGTTGACTGTCATTCTTGATTGCGGCATTCAGTTTTCACTAGAGGAAGGCCCTACCTGACACGTTATGTGACTAATAATTGGCATTCAGCGGTACTCCCTCCCATTCCGTATTTATAAGCCTTGCTGGTCTCAGGTCCTGTTCTTACTTTACCACCGCAGAAACTAGCCTTTTTCTGGTGTTTCATTCTCGGCTTCGTCGACTGTTTTGGCTGATCAACAGCAATTCCCATCATTCACCAGCGCCGGCCATTCAGATCAAGCCCACTCATTCTCCCCCTTACTGAGAGACATCAGGCCACAATGTCATCTGATAAACTTGTACGTCCAGCCCTGGGAGAGACGGTTCCCCTGGGCACCCTATACGACGCTCGTACCGACACGTTCCTTCCTAATTTATTTCTTGAGGACCTACCGGAGAACTTCGTGAATGTTAAGCTCAACACCAAATTGACAGCACAGCTCAGCAAAGCAACCACGATCCGTGACAAACTCAGTACTCTTGGTATCACACGCGAGCTGGGAGCGAGTGTTCTAGCTGGCCTTGTTACAACCAATATTTATGCTCAATATCTGAACAACTGGAATGGATACCAACGCACTGCCGCCCAGGCTTCTCTTTTTACACTATTACGACAGGTGAGGAAGAAATCAAAGAATATGCCACTAGTAACCGGACCTACCGCATACCCGACATGATGGATAAGCCAACTCACTTGGTTACTGGCATTACCTGGGGTGCTCAGTTTCTAGTTGTCGCTCGCCGGGCTGCTTCCATACCAGACGATCTCCTGAGACAACAGGAGCGCCTGGATTCTGTCTTCCAGAGTATTAAAAACACAGCTCTGAATAGTTCCAGTCAATCCAGTGGATCGTCCAACAGCCACGGATCAGACAAACAATAGAGTAGTGTCCTGTGGGACTGTGAAGTCTGGATCTGGAGCAACGTCCTATCGCCAAGGCTCCTCTGTTCCCTCCCTTCTCCGCAGGCCTTTATCGACCGTCTTTGCGCTCATTTGCTAGCAACTAATAGGGGCAAGGGAATGCCCATACAGTACACACTGACATCGCTAACGCCGCAGTCTCGTCCACGCTTTATCAACCTGACAGCCCCCGCCATTTACCACCCTAGGGTCATATTTCTGGAGCGCTTCATTCGTTTGATCGATGACATGACAGATGCGCGACAGCGGTGCAGGGAGTTTATCGCACGATGCGAAAGAAGAGGAAACCGCGCAACCACTACGCCTAACGCAGTAGAGCTAGTCACCATTTAGCTACGAGCTGACGCAGGGCAGGTAGCAGAGGAGGGGTTCAGGAGAGAGTTTGGAAGGGTTTTGCGAAACTTCCGGCACGGCATAGATCCGGAACTTCTCCCGATAATCTTACTCGCTGCCGAAAACGGGCAAGATAGCCCCAGGGGGGTGCTGTCGATTCTGATCCGTCCTAATAACGTCTTGGATGGTCCCCGAGGGCTCATGGAGGATGCCATGAGAAGGGGGGTTACCTACGCGTACTTCAAGGAAAAGGTTTACAACTTGCCTTCAAATCAACGCTGGTGCTGACGGACAGAGCATGAATTTTGAAATCTGGTTTGACACGAGTAATGGGGTGAAAACGCGGCGGAAGCCCAGGAGCGTCAAAAACCTCGTGTCTCCATCGAACATGGGCTATCACGAGACAAAACTCCCCTTGGAGAGACGTCAGGAGAGGTTAGTGGAGGGTGAAAAGGACAGAAGGTATGTATACCTTTTCAAATTGACCAGGAACGTAAAGCTTCAAGTTTAAACAACTGAAGGTTGGAAAGAACGGTCCCATGCCCCGCGTTTTGCGATCTCGACGCTTTGTGAAGATGTATCGTAGAAATAAAAAAAACTGGTGGTGCTTTGATACCTACAAATGCAAAGATTTACAGTCCAATGCTAGGTAGTTTGTACGAAATCAGAGATGTGTCGGCTAACTCAACACCAAACACCAAGCACCAAATGTCGATAACATAAATCCGAAAGGCAACCGACTTACCAAAATCTTAAGGAAAAAAAAAAAAAAGGAAGAAAGCCCCCCCGGAAAAAAAAGGTAAAAATTCCACAGATCCAACAGAGAGTTGTAACATTCACCTGCACCTTCGCTTCCATTAACATAAAGCCTCCCACCGCGTCTAAGAAATAAACAAAGGTCCCACGCGGTACACGCAGAAAGTGAATCAGTTAGCACCGCTCTCAGCTTTGGCTTCGGTTGATTGGAAAGAACGACGCTCGTGATCTACCCCGGCCCCAAAAGTCGATAGAATTGAATTCCAAAGTTAGAAGGGGGGGGGGGGCCTTGCGTAGGAGAGGTGCAGGTATGGAATCAGGAACGGGATGGATGGAGAGCAGGCAGGTGGGTAGGTGGGTAGGTGGGTAGGTGGGTAGGTAGTATGTGGGTTGAATGGCTTCTCATTATAATATGATATATACACACCACGACACGCACTTTGATCATACCGATGCCCCCTTTGACAAACGGCTAGTGTCTGTCCCTTAGGGTAGGGTGTCCATATGCCATACCTTAGTTGTGTGCGCTGTGGAACTATAGGTATCTGAACGGTCGACCTTGACTCGTCCGAGTCCAGAGTCCATCCATATTCCATCCTCTTCCCTCGTCTCTCAGCACCCTATGACATGACCAATCAATATCCATTACATCAACCTAACAGCCTGCTCCGGACCCAGATCCCCCGTACGGGAACCGGTACGCACCGAAACATTGTCACTATGACTATGCACCGTATGCATAAACCCTTTCAAGTCCGCCGTACTGTTCAGGTCTTCTTCCTCCCTACATGACATTGACACAGACGTAGTAACGCTGTTCGCCTTCATCGAGTCTGCTGAGTTTGTCGTGCTGTTATAGTTCGTCGTCCTTGTTGTCGTTGCTGTCTTCGTATTCATGTCGCATGTCGGCCTGCTATCGGATGACGTCCTCCCGGCTGCTGTTGGGAAAGGATGGAAAAACTGTTTGTATCGCTCCCTCCCGCTCACCGGCATCTCGCTTAGTGGAACATCCCCCATCGCGTATTTCAATCCATGAGAGACGCTGCATGCGGCACGGTCTTCTGCCTACCGTCAGAGGCGGCTCGCTGCTGGCGGCAGTGGGTGCACCCGTGGCGCCTGATTCGGGGCTGTTGTCGTTGTTGGCGTGTGGGTCGAGGAAGCCGGGGAAGAAACGGACGATGAAAGGCTTGAGGGTCATGACGCAGGCGACGGCGATGGCGATGTGGACTTCGAGTGCGGTCCAGTAGGTGAGCTTGCCGGTGCTGAAGGTCATGTCCTCCACTTTGATTTCTTGGGAACCATGAAGGTAAAAGACTCGGACCAGTGAGATGATGCAGACGCTTTCGGATAGCAATAGAGAGTGGTGAGTACACGACGTTTCAGCCAGTCAGAGTATGCGGCTGGGAAGATAAGGACTTACATGAAGCCCACGGCGAAAATGCCAATCACAAAGAGCTTTTGTCGCCGAGGCAGCTTCAAAGGACCCACGATAGGGATGGGGAGAAGAAATATGAGAAAGTCCGTAATTATCGTCAAACTAAGGACGCCCAAGGGCAAAAAGTGTTAGCTTATCAGTTTGAGGGATTTGAAGCAATGTAAGATCAAGAAGCAGTCTCACCCTGTGCAGCTCCAGTACCACTGGGTGTCATGACAGTTAGAGGGGGTCTTATCATTCCCCGGTTTGTTCGGATTCCAGTAATCTTCCAGTGGTATACAAGCCGTGAAAATTACTAATACCGTGTAGGCACTGGTAAGACAGACAATGGCGAGTACAGCATATGTAGCGCGGCGTGCCGATTCGACGGTGAATATGGTGAGATATAATAGGCAGATAGAGATCTTGGTCAACGCCAGCGACAGGAAGTAGAACAATACGGAGGCCCAGAATCCCTATTATAACCATCATTGTAGGTTGGGTCAGCGTGATTTCCCGACGATGTGGCGGGAACGAGCAACTCGATGATATAGGGGCAGGCCAACGGCACTCACCACCATTAGAGGCACATAATTGGCCATAACATCGACGTTCCATGCGTGTTTGCCGAAACCAGATCCGATTTCTGTGTCTGTTAGACTTTGTTTCCTTGTTTCAAACTAGGTCGTTGGTAACAAACCAAGGGTGAGGCTGCTGGACATTGCTGCTGCTACTATCTGGAAAAATCATGTTAGAATATATGCCCGAATGTTGTGTGCTAGGAGCTTAGCCGTCAACTAACCAGAGAGACCAAAATGCACCAATCTGACGCCCCAAGCCCGTTAACAACCCTGGACCGCGCCCAAAACCTCAAAGCGACGAAAATGACAGCAATGCTCCATGTCGTCCATATTGCTCCCAGCATTGAAGGGCCATAATCTTCATTTATAAGGTCTCCGTACTTGTAGGGTGGCGCCGTCGTCTTCTTATCTTCGGACCTGTACAGCACATAGGCCTCAGAACCGTACCTGCCCTCATGCATGCCGAGGACGATGGGAGCATCGAGGGGAAAGAAACTTTGTAGCAGCTGTACGTAAGGGCGAAGGATATACGCCTCTCGCCACGGTCACCCTAGCAGATTGGTAGATGGGTCGGACTCGAGGTTTGTATAGACGAGGTACCCTACCCAGCCCCTGAAAACCCGGCGGCGATCTCCGTATGTGGCTGAGGCGATCCCAAGTCAAGAGGGTGGGTCGAGAAAGTGGTGTTATGTTCGGGCTGACGAGATGACGATGATGTGTTGGCGTGGTGGCGTACCAGTTCGCAGTGTTCCTGATGAGGAGAGCACACGGACCGGAGTTTGGTCCGCTCAATGTGGTTGATCTGTTCGTGATTATCAAATTGGCGAGACGAGGACTTGGGAATTAGTGGCGTTTGCAAGTATGTTATTGCTGAGTCGAGGCGAGGATGTTGAATACTGACCGCCTTTATGGATTGGTTTTCCGCCGAGTAGTAGTATTATAATTGCTTTTTCCAGTCAAGGTACCATAAAAAACCTGGAATGATGTGAATTTCTTCAAAGATCACTGGTGGTCGACAAACAAAGGGCACTGAATCAACAGAGAGCCATCAAGCTTTGCTATTAGGATGACCGGGGCTGTCGAGTGCAGATAGTCCGGTTGGCTCCCCGACCTGAAAGTTCGAGCAAAGTTGATACCGGGCACTTAACTATGAAAGTCAGTCACTGGTTAATTGTATTACTTTCAAACTCGGAAACAAACCCACTTCTCTTTCTCCCCCGGTACGAGGATTATTGCAAGATGGCAGAGGAAGATCTCTGGGATTCTTCTTCTTGCCGGGGGATTTCACCTGGCAACCTTCCTCGGTCAAGCGGGTGATGCTGGACTGCTTGTTGGCAGCTGACGTCTAATTCGACCTGGTCGTATTCGGGTCTTGCTGAATTGAGATCGGTCCCAGCCAGACGGTACACGATGGACCCTACGAGGCTGGTTTGGTTGGCACGAGTGCCGGGCCGTTGGGTTACAGTGAAATGCCGGAAAGGATCGTATCTTCCAGGGTTTGAGTTGTCTTCAAGTCCACGTCTTCTGCGTAATGTCCTTGGTGGCTTCTGGGTAAGGTAAAACAACCAAGGGGGACAAACACAACGGGTGACACCTTGGACAGCTCGAGGTGGACACGGCAAAGATTGGTATAAGATGAAGTAGCGGGCGATCAGGAAGGAGAAGAGATCATCATGTGATTTCTGCAGAACCATGGCAAATAGATGGAGCACAGTGTTGCGGACAATGTATAGAACGTGCATGACGATATGCTCGTTGAACGGTTGTGGCCAAAACCGCGGAGCTAGTGTAGGGCCTTACCAGGATCGACACAGGCTGGAAATCCTCCTCGAAGCCCCCCTGGCCTGATGCCAGTGTGAAGACGAGATTGTCCTGGGGAAGAACATTACGTTGTCCAGGTCTCCAGTAAATGAAGGGTTTTGATGAGGAGCGGAAAGCTGAGCATGCTCCCCCGTAAAGTAGTCGGTGACGATACCTATCATGACAAAAGCAGAGAAAAAGGGGGGAAAGTCTTGTCGATGAGTCTGCCTTCACACATGATGCCGCCAGATGACTGGACTGAATCCGACTTTTTGGTCAACCCCCACCACGCTACCGACGGAGAGAAGTCCGGACTGTCATACCTTGACCAGAATTGGGTGGCTTCACCGCTTGTTGTGAAGATGTCTCAACGTTCAAAGAGCCATAGCTTCGAAATGAGCTTTTCGAAGAGGACCGTCAAGGTTGTTGCGAGCACTTTATTGCTCGACCGGGTGGAGTAAGACGGCAAGTAATCCACTGCGCTATCGGAGTGTTGGTTCGGCATCTGTCGATGTACAATCTAACACGGGCTTGTAAACAAACCAGTATTGGACTGTGAGGAGGGATCTGGAAAAATAAAATGAAGTCACCAATGCAACAGTAAGAAAGTCTCCGACGTCGTTCTCATCGAAATGACCATTGGCTGCTATTGGGTCTTCGGAGTTTGGGAACGAGCCGAGACACCTATTAAATGTCACTTGAGGATCGTCGCAGGACTACGGAACGAGTCCAAAATATGTGAGTGAGGTAGATAGGATGAAAGGTAAAAGGCACGGGCAGCGGTTATCGAGGATCAGGATGACCTGGTGGGAGATCCAATGCTATTTGACGTCGGGACGGAGATCTCGATTTCAAATGTTTTGGTGGACGGGGAGTCAGTGAGATGGGAAGTGAGATTGAGGTGGCACTGACGATGAATTTACGTATACCTAGAAGGCGCCAGCAGGGGCAGCAGCGGAGATCCTTGGTGGGGTGCATCAGCCCGTCCACAGGGCGTTCCACAGGGGCTGCGCAAACCGTGCCCACGGCGCTCCAGGTGGGTTGGGGACGAACGCCCATGGGTACTCGGGCCAGTCAGCAGCTGCGGGGCGTTACCCGCTTCACCACCCCTGCTTTTCCTTTCCCGCGTTCATGTTGTGAAGTCGTGCCTGCCGGGATTGTCGCCTTTAAATCCACCATAAAATTTCCCAAAACCTCATCGCGGGGCAGGCAATCGAAGCCGTGTAAAGAGGTGCTTGGCCAAATCATCTTAGAATCCGCAAGAGTCAATGTAGACTTTCACCAAACACCGACCATCGAGACTTTGAACATTATACAATACCATTGTTATCCGATTGACTCACCCGGAGAACAATAATCGCCATTACGGACAGGCATAACCCCAGTATCGCATAGTCTACAACCGTCATCTCCGAAGAACTTCTAACCACTCCGAACAATCACCTCTCGATCACCTCGCCGAGCAGAGGGCAGAGAGACACAAGATCTTCCGCCCAGGAACCAAACAAACAACAAACCCTTCCAACAGCAGTCAAAAACAACCATGGCATCATCCTCGGACCAACCACGTCCAACGACCACAAACCTCGACGAAGACGACCCCATCGTCGCCACCTACAACGTCTTCATCAAGCCGCCCCTCCCTTCCGACCGCAAGCTCGTCGTCCTCCGCTACGTCACCAAGACCGCCCAAGACCCATCCTCGATCAAGCCGCCACGGATCAACAGCTTCCGCGTGAAGCCCGAAACCGGCATCTACGAGGTCGACATCCCTCTCGAGACGGGCGATGGCTACAACAAGCCCAAGGGCATCGCATGGGGTGTGGCGCTAGCCAAGAGCATGGAGTCCAAGAAGGACGGTAGCTTGGGACTGGCTGGTGGTTTCAACATTGGTGGACAGGGAGGATCGTCACGCGGTGGTCCTGGTGCTGGTGCTGGTGCTGGTGGCCGTCGTGCTGCTAACAACGGAGACGATGACCACGAGGCGCAGAATCTGAGCTGGCCTGAGGCTGTGGCGCAGGGGAAAGCTATCATCGACCAGAAGTTGACGGGTAGCCGGAGCGCGGGCGAGGATTACGTGAAGCATATGGTTGGTGTCTTCCAAGGAAGTGAGTCCACCCCGTACCTATCCTCATCTCCCCTCCCTGTTTTCACTTCATCCTCAGTTCACTAACCCTTCACTTTCAACCCAAACAGACAACCTCCACTTAACCCCCGTAACCTCCCTCGTCCAACTCCGGCCCGTAGCGCCCTACTCGACGCCGCCAACCGAGCAAGACGTCTCTCGCGCCTTGGCCCCGGCCCCGCCGCCAACGGTCCCGCCGACAAGCAGGCGGCTGGCCGCGCGATCCATATGTCCATCAAGTCGTCAGACACTGGCGGAGCCGGTGCCGCAGCCGAGACCATGGCGGACCGCTTGCGCGCTGTGCAGACGGAACCCTGGCACAATCTCAAGTGGTACCACGACGAGCACGGCGAGGCGTGGGACACGTATAATGAGTGCATGCTTTTGAGGTCGAGCGAAGCTGCTGGTAATGCTGCGCCGGCGGAAGAAGACGAAGAAAAGAAGGAGACAGCAAAGGAAGAGAAGAAGGATGGGGAGGAAGCTGAGGCGGCGGCGGCGGCAGAACCGACGGACGACAGTGGAGCGCCAGATCTGGTTGAGAAGGTCAACAGACTGCAGTCGGATTGGGGCGAAGAGCAGATCCTGCGGTCGATCAACGGGTTGGGGCCAGATGATAAGAAGCCCGGTGAGGAGGCGGTTTCGGTGCCCTCGGTTTTTGGCACGAAAAAGACCACGGCGACGGCCAAGAAGGTCCAGGTTAGCAACAGCAAGGGAAAGGGAACGGCGGATGCCATGCAACTTGACTAGGAGTCGAAGACTGTCGGCGGTAAGAGAAGAAGCTCGTGCATCTCAAGTTGAGGCGGCAAAGGTTAAAGGCTCAAGGGGAGTGGAAAAGAAGGGCGAATACGAAAGATAAAGCGCAAGAGGCCGAGCCTTTCTGAAGTGGGAGACCCACCCAAGAGCTACTACCATAACATACCCTTTGGTTAACCGATAAATTCTCTTATGAATTTTTAAAAATATACGATACCCTACAGCTTGACTCCTCTTCTTTCCCCTCTTCATCATCTTCTTCACAGGTTTGCTTCTCAATAACCTGTCCCATAACAACATCGGTATGGTGACAAGAGTGATGTGGTGAATGATCAATGATGTATGACCTTGCCTCGCAAAACCTGACCCAACCCCTTTTTGGTTTCCCCTCTTCTACAACCAGGTGTCCCGTTTCATCCCATCCCGTCCATCCGTACAACAATTGCCGAGTTATATAAAAAGCCAACCGCCAAGTTCTTTTCCTACTTTTCCCGGCAATACAAATGTTGGAACTTTCGAAGAAACAACCTCCTCCCCGCCCAGGAAGTTACCATCTAGTAGTATGGAGGTAAGCCAAGAATGTCTGCTGGGGTACGCAATCCCCATCGCGATGGCCCAGGCACTACGCTTTTTCCGTGCACCTCAAAACGCTGACAAAACGCGATGCATTCAACGCAACTTTTCCGTTCAAATAATAATGATGATAATCGTCCTTGCTTAAATCACCCGCCCAGATGATTTATTCAACCGACTTTCATAGTCAATGTGTGTGTATGTTGTTGTAGCAGAGTCGCTTACTGAAGCAGCTCAACATCGAGGCCGATCGACCGCATGAAGAGGTTGACGTTCGACAGGCGCTCCGTGGCGAGTGCTGGAGGAAGAGTCTTGGCGAGGCTGACGGTGTCCATGACACGGTCCTTGACAGCAATGACAAGTCTTTGCTGCTGGTCGGGGCTAGCGCCGATACCGATAGCCGCGAGAAGCTGCCAGACGTACGTATCTTGATCAGTGGCAAGACTGCCAGGGAAGATGTACGGAAGAGAGGGCTCGAGGAGGTTGAAGAACTGAGTGTAGGTCATATCCCTGCGTAACATTGTCAGCATGCGGTCCATGTCTCGTAGTGTAAAGGGGAACTTACCAAGAACGCCAATCCTGTTCACTGCCTCCGCCATTGTGCTTGATGAGCTCCGCTCTACTGAGGATCATCGTAAGCATCGACGCGCCGATTCTGCTCTTGGCGATGATGTCCACGTTCCTGGTGCACACAAGACCAAGGATGCCGGCAACAAGGTCGAGGCCGAGTTCGTTCATGAACGTAAACAGCGTAGTTACGATAGCAGCTGAGAACAATTCAATGTTTTCACGCATAGCGGCGTTGAACTGGATGTCATCAGTTGTAACCTGAGCTTCGCGGACAACATCGAGTTGATCGAGATTCAGGACAATGCGTGTGAAAATGGTGATCCTTTGCTCATGGTTCGTGTGACGGAAGATGCGCGGTATGGCTTTCTTGCCCTTGTTGTAACAAAGAAGGGCCATGAAGGGGTGAATGCGGCCCGGCTGCTCCATATCCTGCACTCGGAGAGCCTTCCAGAGCTGCTCATTCAAGGCCTGTCCCTCGTTGCTCCATGCAAAGACCTTGTTCAGAGCTTCCTGATCATCCTCGGCAGGCGCCATAGGCATGTTGCGTTCGTGGTCTTCCATCTTCATGAGAGTGGTGTATACCAACTCGAGAGCTTTCAGCTCCGACTTCTTGTCCCTTCCATTGATAGGATGCGGTGCCTTCTTCACATCGCTGGCGCTGTCGTTACGCTTGATGTTGAGAAGCGGCTTCGGGGTCTTGGCGTTGCTGAAGGAAATCTTGCCCAAGCTGCCTTCAATAACAAGCTGCTTGTTCTTGGGCTTGTTCTTGGCCGCCTCAACAGCGCGCTGGACCTGTTGTTCCATCCTCTGCATGTGGTTCTCAGGACCCCTGTTATGACGGCGCATACCTCCCTGGCGGCTTCCGGTCTGGAACAGATAGGTCTGAGCAAACTGGTTGAGGGGCTGGCTGGGGTGTTGACGATGGCCAGCCTGGATCTGACTATGGACTTGATAGTAAAAGTCCTCGGCAAGTGACTCGTCTGTGCCGTGCTCATTGGGATTTCCGGTGGCCGCAACAAGCTGCTGGAGCTGGATTCGGGTAATGAAATTCTTGTCCTGTGGCGTCATAATACCGTTGTCGCGAGACATTTGGAAGATCTTGTGGTTGCGTTTCGCGCGCTTGGCTTCTTGCTCGAGATACGCAGCCTTTTCCTCCTCCGAAAGCTGAGCCAGCTGGGCGGGATGAAGAACCATAGGGGGCTGTCGTGGAAGAGAACCTTGTTGCCTGTGGCCCTGAGGACCGGTCGGAGGCGTAGGGTGAACAGGCAGGCCGATCTTAGCTGCGTCGCCTGAAAGACGGTTGGGGTTCTGCAGAATCTGAGTGGGCTGCTGAGGAGCAACGGGTTGCTGATGCTGTTGAATAGCGGGCGGTTGGGACGAGGGCTGGGCGGGCGTAGCAGGCTTCGAGTGAGGCCGCTGGAGGATTGTCATGGGATGCCCTTGCGGTTGATGGTACAGAGGCTCAACAACACCGGCCTGGAAATGGGCCTGCTGCTGGTTCTGAGCTTGCTGCTGGTAGAGGTAAGCCTGCTCATGTGGGATTTGATGGGGCTGGTGCTGAGGAGCGGGAGATGGAGTAGCCGCCTTTGCCTGGGCGCGCATCTGAGCCTCAACCTCCTCGAGACTCAGCATCTTGCGGCCCCCGGAGGGAGCACTAGGAACGGCAGGCTGAGCAGGCGGCGGCGGTTGCTTCTTGGGTGCGACGCCCCAGAGAGCAGCGTCAACCTGAAGATCCTCGATCGGCTGCTCGTGGTATTTTTCATAGCCAGTCCTAGCAGGTTTAGCCGGGGCCTGCGGGAAATAGTTGTACGACGGTCCGCCGAACGAGGGTCCGGCGTAGGAGGGCCCGGCGGTGGACGTATAGGCCGATGGCTGCGCGACAGGCTGGGGAGCCTTGGCGGCCGGTTGTTGGCGGTTGAAACGAACATTTTCCTCCTCAATGACGTCCGCGACCTTGGCGGTCTGGCCAAAGAAGTCGAAGTCTTTTCCTACGGGACCGGGCGCGCCGGTATCGTCGCCGAAGGTATCGTCGTTGAAGACATCATCGGTCTCATCCAGCTGGTCACCCAAGCCGTCATAAGTGTCCTCGAAGTCGATCTCTTCGGCTTCCTCCTCCCTGTTGGCTAGACTAGCAAACGGATCGTGAGCCTGGGAGAAGCCGGGAGCGGCGGTATTATGGCGAGACTGATCGAAGTTGAAGAAGGACATGTTGGTGATCTCTGTTGGGTTTATGGGAAAATTCTATGGAGGTATCACTGTTGTAGGGTCAGTATACGTTGATCGAAGGACTTCGTGGCGGCGCAAAGTCAGGCGCAAAGATGACAAGCTCGGCTGATTAGCGAGGGGAAAGAGAACAATGAGGGGCAAGAAAGAGAGGACAAGACTCTAGTTGGCGAGTGGGACGACAAGTATAGGAAGGAACAGCCGTGAGGCAGGTTCACAAACTTGTGGGTGAAGGGGAAACAGGAAGGTTTGAAGGCCCAGTGTTCAAACAGCTACCTAAGCGAGGGGCGACTCGATGGATATCCCACCGAGCTGAGGGTCGGGTGCTGAGCTGTCTCTTGAAGCGCGGGGCAACGACAACAACATCAAGGCCAGGGACATGGCAGCTCAACTTTCACCCCATAATATTTGACAGCCTGAGGCTGCAACACATGGTAGAAACAAGAAAGATCAACGTACAGTACGAGATGTAAATATGTTGGTATGGTCGGTTTGGCCAAACACCATGATGCTGCGATGCGCGACTCGAGGGGTAAAGGAGACGACGTGTCGACGGCGGTGCGACTCGTGCAAAGAAAGCGGAGCAGAGCTTGTCAGGGCGGCAACAAACACGCAACGCTCAGGTTGGAGATATGATATTATGAACAGAGAAGCAAGAAAGGCTGTGGAATGACGACCGAAGGCGCAACTGAGTGCACCGCGGTGAAGAGGTGGATGCGGTTGCTAGGTGGGAATAGTAGCTTGATGGCAGCGCAAAAGGCGACACGCAAGAGACGGAGATGGATGAAGTCAGGCCAACTCCAACCCAGAAGCCAGATCAGGGAGCTGTGGACCAATCGAGGAGGGCCAATGGAGCCGACAACACATGTGGGCGGGCGGGCGGTAGGCCTGACGCTTTGACACTTTGACCCTCTCCCCTCCGGCCTTGGCGTTAACTACCGGCAACTCCCCAGGCGGCAGGGCGGCAACCAAGGGCCCAGTGCCTGCCGGGTCGTGGAATCCTCAACCGCCAGTTGCAAGCTGTTTAATCCGATAGGCCAATCGGTGATAACGATGTTCGATAGAACGATACTACAGTACTTTCTGAACATCAACCTTTACGTGTATTAAGGGACGGGACGACAACGAGAAAACCTCATGGTCAACTTTTACTGCCAAGCCGAGAACAGCACTATTAAGCTCGATATTTCGATTTTGTGATAAGCAAGGTAGCTCAGTCATCCACCATTCTTCCCGACCATTTCACCAACGGGTACGTAAGTGTCGAAGCTCATAGGGTAAAGCTGATTTGAACAGCTGTTCAAATGGTGCTTTTTTTGCAAATTTGCCATGTTGACGCAGGTGAAGCACATCGGACATGGACGGAGGCAAACATGCATGTAACTTGGGGCTGTTTTTCGCCAGGTGGTCATATGCAGTCGGGCTGTATCATGGCTTGGTGTTTTCCCTGTTGTTTCCTATCTTGAAGAACTTGGACGAGCAATGAGAACAGGCTGGTAGCAGATCATATTATCAAGATTATAAGCTAGTAAGCTACACCTCAACATGGGAGAAGGATCAAGAAGCTTGACTAAAGTCATCCGGGGTTTTATATGGCGGCCACCCCTCTGTTGACGGATGCAACATGTGAAGTTATGGACGTGGACAATTCCCCTGGAAGTTGACAACTTCTCTCAAGGGGGCTTTTTGTCTCCCACTAACAAGGCCACGCGAGATCCGCCGCGGCCCGCAATAATGGGGTACTTGCGGATACGGGTGACGACGAAGCTGTGGGGCACCCTAATGTCTTTCCCAGCCGCCTACCCCCGCGACCAATCTTTTTGGTCCTGGCCGGAACATTGAGCTGCTCAGGGGAATGCGCCGCATGCGACCATCACGGACGGGAAGGGCAATGATAGCTTCGGGTGTTCAGGTACGCTCGCGGATGTTGTTGGAGATGTTCCTGATGTTGTAGTCGTCGGAACTTTGTATTTATTTTCGTTACCAGTGGAAGTAAAGAGGCCCAAAGATCACGCAACAAGGTACTTGACAGTACTTTGCAACGTCTTTGGTTTGCCCACCACTCCTTCCGAGATATACCGTTGTCGCAAAAAGGGCGAAACATGCTAAGCATCCCTTCAATATCCTGCCCCCCCAAGTATCAGAAAAAAAGTGTCCAGGGGTATGTACAGTCTAGAAAAGTGCCAGATCTCTCTCTCATTCATCGCAGAGCTTCCAACGGTCCGGGTACCCCTTTGCATATGCGGACGTGGCACCCCTCTGCGGTACCAATTACCTGGCACATCTCTCCGCATCTTATCCATACAACACCGGGCAATACGAAGCTGCAGTGGGCTGTCCTGGCAAGACGCTGCGCCTGAGCCTTCGAGCCCTGAACAACACTTGGCTCTTCCGGGCTGCAAGCAAATCCAAGGGAACTTCCGCTTCTTCCCTATTTCAACTTCTCTTCAGCCTGGCCATCTTCTTTCCTGGTTGGTTTCTCTTCTCTCAACCATTGAGGCCATACGCCAATTGCAGCTCCATCTCGGAAATCTCCCCGGGATCCGGAAGTTTCCCAGACTTGTCGTGCAGTAGCAATTGACGAGGTTCCGGGTCGCTTCCTTCCGTGGCTCGCATTCAGCCATTGTCCATTCGTCCCACCCGTGAACACGACACACGATTTCTCCGACGGGCTTCAAACACCGTCAACACTACTACAAACTTTACTTAACTTCAGGTTGGGTTTGGCCTATATTTTTTCAACATGGCGGCGGGAAGCGCACGCCATGTGCGCTACATCCTCTTTGCCTTTTTTGTATGTCTGATCATTCATCTCTGATACTCTTCTTTGCTCTGTGCTCTGCCTTTGATGGTACCTTTGACGGTGCTTATTCGCTTTCCCCGGTGCCCCCACTGACCATGACGTTAGGTTATCGCCGTTCTCTACTTCATCTCTACTCCGGCATCCGTCGTGACCCCCTTGAAAGATAACTTTGGCAAATTCCAACAATCCACCGGAGCCTCGAAGCCTTCCGCCGGGAGCACTACCGGAAGCAATACCGGAAGCACCACCGACACCGACGCTGCCCACGATGACAAGACGCCCGTCAAGAGCAACGGCGCCGACTACGATCCTGCCAAGTACCCATTGGCCATGACCCCGAACGACCCGGGGTGGAACGACCTGTCCAGTGTCAGTGGCGGCCCTCGCATGAATGCCACCTTTGTCACCTTGGCTCGCAACGCCGATGTATGGGAAATTGCAAAGTCGATCCGCTCGGTCGAGGACCGCTTCAACCGCCGCTACAACTACGACTGGGTCTTCCTCAACGATAAGCCGTTCGACGACACCTTCAAGAAGGTCACCTCCTCCCTTGTTTCCGGCAAGACGTACTATGGCGAGATTCCGACCGAGCACTGGTCGTTCCCGCCCCACATCGACCAGGAGAAGGCCAAGAAGGTTCGCGAGGACATGAGACAGCGCAAGATCATTTACGGTGACAGCGTCAGCTACCGCCACATGTGCCGTTTCGAGTCCGGCTTCTTCTTCCGCCAGCCCCTTATGATGAACTACGACTACTACTGGCGTGTCGAGCCGAGCGTCGAGTTCCACTGCGACATCCACTACGACCCCTTCCGCTACATGCACGAGAACAAGAAGAAGTACAGCTTCGTGCTCAGCCTTTACGAGTATTTCGAGACCATCCCCACTCTTTGGGACAGCGTTACCAAGTTCATGAAGAACCACCCTGAGCACGTTGCCGAGGGCAACTCCATGGCCTTCCTCAGTGACGATGGTGGCAAGACCTACAACAAGTGCCACTTTGTAAGTAACCTCCATGACGGTTTACAGTTTGCAACAAAGCTTAGTCTAACAATTTCTGCAGTGGTCCAACTTCGAGATTGGCAGCCTCAACTGGCTCCGCTCCAAGGCCTATACCGACTACTTTGAGTCTCTCGACCAGGACGGCGGTTTCTTCTACGAGCGTTGGGGTGATGCGCCGGTCCACTCGATCGCCGCAGGCTTGATGTTGAAGAAAGAGGAAATTCACTTCTTCAACGACATTGCCTACTACCACGTTCCCTTCACCCACTGCCCTACCGGAGAGCAGTTCCGCCTCGACCGCAAGTGTCATTGCAACCCCAAGGAGAACTTTGACTGGAAGGGGTATTCTTGTAAGTTTTTACCACGTAATTCCACCCTTTGGCCGAGTTGTTTAACTGACCCATGACTACTTTTCAGGCACTTCGCGGTACTACGAGCTCAACGGTCTTCCGAAGCCGGAGGGCTGGCAAGACAATTCGGATTAAAGTGAGGCAAGAAAGAGAGGTAGTTGGGAGGATGTGGGGAATAAGGCTTCATGATTGGGGAAACGGGTCCGCAGACAAAAACGGAAGCGGACATTCACTAGACTGTATTATCGTTATAATGACTTCCTTCATCCTCGTTGTGGTATGACCGAACGGGCCTAGAAACATGGGGCCTACAAATGGGAAAGGTTAGGGGGAAAAACGAAGTTGTGTTTTCTGAATCGTCTGATGGTTCGTTAGGGGTCGAAGGGGGCGTCAAAGGAGATATGTAACGGTCACTTAAGGACAACGATAAGAAACGAATATCAGAATTGAGCGGTATAAAATATAAACCGGATAGAAAAGCACATGGGTCAGTCAGTGTCTCCGTCCTTCCCTGAACATATGATGCTGGACAATTCGTCTCCTCGTTTCCAATAAGTAGCCATAATATCCTAAGTCGCAGCACGAGCGATATGAACAGCGCTAGGTATCATGTTGCACACTCTGTTTCTTTTCCTGCTTATAATAGTACACGGACACATACAGTAGTTTAGGATGCGGAATGATGATTCAAGTGCAGGAAGGTTAACCACTTCCAGCCAACAACACTCATTTCACACCATCATCCAAGTCGCTCTGTGACCAGGGGGTATCATCTCAATTTTGCTCTGTTGTTGTAGCTAGCTAGCTGTATGCTTAACCAACAGCGGCCTTCTTGGGCTTCTTGGTGCCGTATTTACTACGAGAAGTCATACGAGCAGGAACACCGGCCTGTTTTATCGCACAATCTTTTGTCAGCACATCGTTCCCACATTTGCTTTACTCTTCCCCCTTCTTCTTCTTCTTCTTCTTCCTCTACTATCCATCCATCCAGTGTTTTCTTGGGGAAAAAAAAAAGAAGAAAGAAAACTTACCAAATCCAGCGCGCCTCTAACAAGATGATACCTCACACCAGGACAATCCTGGGCTCTGCCGCCACGGACGAGCACCACACTGTGCTGTGAGATGTTGTGGCCCTCGCCGGGGATGTAGGCCGTGATGACCTTGCCGGTGGAAAGACGGACACGGGCGGTCTTGCGCTCGCCCGAGTTGGGCTTCTTGGGACGCGTGATGCCGACCTTGACGCACACACCCTTGAGCGCGGGGGACTTGATGGACGAGAGAGCCGGGGAGACGGCGTGGCGGGCGCGTTGGGGTTTGCGGCAGCCCTGTTTTCGGAAGAGGCTTTAGGTTAGCGAGTGTTTGGTAGGAGGTGAGAGGTAGGTTGGTGGTGATGATAGAGGAGGGCAGGGTATTGTGTTGGATTGGGTCGACCGGTTGGGGATGGTCGACAAAGGAAGGGTGGCATATAGGTTAGGGTTGAACGATGGAACAACTGAGGTGGTAAGTTGGTGATGGCTTCGACATAACGTACCCTCAAGACCTGGTTAAGAGTAGCATTCTGCGCCGGAGTGCTGGAGAACGACCGGACAGAAAGTTGAGGCACAATAGAAGAGGAAGACGGCATCAGCGGCCGCCGTAGCAGCGGCGAAGCCTGCGAAAACAGGTTCCGCAAGAAGGTCGTCGCCATCTTGACGGTGGATCTGATGGATGAACAACAAACCCGGGCTTCAAGACAACCTAGCTCCGAAATCGTTCGGGTCGGTCGCGGCGCGCAACAACACGCGGTACGGGATAGTGGTCCCCCCCCCCCCCCCCAGCCAGGCCCGGCAGGCGCACGGCAGGCCCGGCGGGCGGCGCCCCCAGCGGCGATGCGGAAACTTTTTTGGGTCACGGGCTGGAGCACGTGGAGATAAGGAATGCCAAGATTTAAAAGGTACGTACCTTTAGGGAAACTCATTAGGTAAGCTCGCGTGCGGCAATCATCGGTTATAGCTGTGACAGTCACATGGCATTTCCTTCTCCCCATTCCCGTTCGTGCATGGGCGGGCAGCATTGAAGGTGCAATGTTCATGGAATCTCACGGCGACGTTCTCATTTGTCTTGCTCTCTTTTTTCTTTTTTCCTTTTCGCAGTCGTCCTCGTCCACATCCCTTCGATCCAAGCAACAACGGTGACCGCCCGGCGCCCGGCGCGCGACCGCCCGCCATCAACTCATCAAGGTCCATCGAGAGAGTGCCCCTCCCCCGTATCTCCCCCCATCTGCTGTCCTCCGTCTCCCCCAAATCCATCCCTGTCGTGGCCACCGTTTACCCCGGCCAAGGATATCTATGTGTGGGGAAATCACCGCTTAAAAGACCGGTTTGGAGCTTTGTGAATGGTGGAGAGCTTACCTCGGCAGAGCCGAGACACTTGTCCCAGCCGTTGTCCACAGCAGCACCGTATCTCGGCCGCGTGCCGGCCAATGCCATTGACCATCGATACCCGTTTGGCTTGGCTTTTTTGAATTTCTGAAGAGATCGGAGGGAGAGAGGTCGGTCTTGTCCCGCTTGCCCGTCCGTAGGTATCCTGCTACCAAGGTGTACACTTACACCTCTGCTTCGAATCTGCGATTATGATCTGTTACTGTACACGAAGATGCATAGTGACCGACTAAATACGTGAACAGGTGTAGAACATTGCGTGAGAGGCAAATGTCAAAAAGAAAAGGGACCCTCTCTTCACCTGCCTTGTTTGAGCCCTGGCTGTTCATTGTTGTCCTTCTCCATGATATGATGCTCCGTGGATCATCCTGACTCGGGGTTACGGAGCTACGTAGGTACATCTTTCACCTGGTGGTTTTACTAGTGGCAGCTGTACCGTGTCCCGCGACTTATAAGAACCCGAAGAAGCTTTGTTGCATCACACCCCCAATTCCCCTCCTTCCCCCCAAGCATTTTGATACCCTTTCCGCCTTTTTTTTTCTTACCAATTTTTCGCTGTCTTCGTCGTTCTTCTTAGACAGCAACTCGCGCCAGGTTTCTTCGATCGGTTCTATAATCACAACACATATATACACACACACACACATCAGACAAAATGAAGTCGTTCACTAGGGCTCTCCGTCCCGCCGTCCGCAGGGCTCAGGCTGTTACCGCTCCCAGACTTTCCAGGACTCCTGTCATCCAATGGTGAGTTTTTAACAATTCATCCCATGCCTAGTTCGATCGCCAAAAGAGATGGGATGAGAGAAGGAGCGGAGACACATGGGAAGAAAGGGCGCAAGATGCTGATACTAGGTTTCCCTCGGCATAGCGCTCGCACTCTTTCCACTACCGCCCCTCGCCGGGACATCACCGACCTGCCGCCAACCCCCATCACCCACTTCTCCGAGGTTGAGAACGCCATGGCCGAGACTGTCCAGAAGTTCGCCAACGATGTCATTCTCCCCAAGGTCCGCGACATGGATGAGGCCGAGGTCATGGACCCCTCCATTGTCGAGCAGCTTTTCGAGCAGGGTATCATGGGTGTTGAGATTCCCGAGGAGTACGGCGGTGCCGGCATGAACTTCACCTCCGCCATTATCGGTATTGAGGAGCTCGCCCGCGTCGACCCCTCGGTATCCGTCATGGTCGACGTCCACAACACCCTCGTCAACACCGCCGTCATCCGCTGGGGTTCCGAGGCGCTCAAGAAGAAGTACCTCCCCAAGCTGGCCACCAACACCGTCGGTTCCTTCTGCTTGTCCGAGCCCGTCTCCGGCTCTGACGCCTTCGCTCTCGCCACCCGCGCTGTCGAGACCGAGCACGGCTACAAGATCAACGGCAGCAAGATGTGGATCACCAACAGCATGGAGGCCGACTTCTTCATCGTCTTCGCCAACATCGACCCCAGCAAGGGCTACCGCGGCATCACCGCCTTCATCGTCGAGAAGGGCATGAAGGGCTTCAGCATCGCCAAGAAGGAGAAGAAGCTGGGCATCAGGGCCTCCAGCACCTGCGTGCTCAACTTTGACGACGTCGAGGTGCCCAAGGAGAACCTGCTCGGCAAGGTCGGCGAGGGCTACAAGTACGCCATTGGCATCCTCAACGAGGGCCGTATCGGCATCGGCGCACAGATGACGGGTCTCGCGCTCGGCGCGTGGGAGAACGCCGTCAAGTACGTGTGGAACGACCGCAAGCAGTTCGGTCAGCTTGTCGGCGAGTTCCAGGGCATGCGAGCGACCAGATCGCCCAGTCCTACACCGAGATCGCCGCCGCCCGCGCCCTCGTCTACAACGCCGCCCGTAAGAAGGAGGCTGGCGAGGACTTTGTCATGGACGCCGCCATGGCCAAGCTCTACGCTTCCCAGGTCGCCGGCCGCGTTTCCGGTCTCGCCGTCGAGTGGATGGGCGGCATGGGCTTCGTCCGTGAGGGCCTGGCTGAGAAGTTCTTCCGTGACAGCAAGATCGGTGCCATCTACGAGGGTACCAGCAACATCCAGCTTAACACCATTGCCAAGACTCTCCAGAAGCAGTACACTGCTTAAGGCCGTGGTGGTTTGACGGTTGGTGTGTTACTAGTTGTTATTGTAGAATGTTGTGCATGTACATATTGGTTAGGATATCATTGGAGTTAAGGGGATGGATGCTAAGAGTTTCAAAAAAAAAAAGGTCACGAAGCACCATGTCATCATGATCTAGAAATGTTCAGCAAGCTATTTTTTGGTTACTTGATTCTGTTCTTTCTCCGGCTTCTCTGTTGTTTTTCAATGGTGACAGTTGCCGATATCGGCTCTGGAAAGCCTTGAAAGATCCGATGATCATGTTGGTCGCGCGGCTTTGATCTAACCCAACCTTAAACATTATGCTTCCATCACCCGCCAACACGCAACAGTCGCTTCCCTGGTGCGGGTATGCTGCCACTCGTCCTGCATGTGTGCCTACGGACGCCGGCATGCTCTTCACGCAGCTAAGCAGTGCTTAAGATGATTCATTCGAGGATAACCGAGAATCAGCCTGGGGAGCTGGGAGATTGTTTGAAGAGCTGACGAGTCTGTTGATGTTTGAACTGGTCGTGATCGTGTCAGTTTTTTTGGTACATTAACCAGCTCACAGTTGGGCCCTTGATCCTTGCAATTTCATACCAAGCTTCACCCATCATTTTCAAACTTCGTTCACTTCATAGAACGGGAATCATTACCACAAGTCCGGAATACCTAAAGTTTCATTCGGCCCGGAAACCAGGCCGAGTCTTCGGGACGAGAGTCCGTCAGTCCGTCTCAGCCCGGCGTATGCTCTTCCATGGCCAACCCTAACCCTCGTCCCGTCACAAGTCAAGACATGGATGGACACCGTGACCGCCTTTCTTGTCCGAATGGAGGATGTCTCCTCCATCGCTGTACTGTTGACGTTGCCTAAGCTTGCGCACCAGACCTCTTCTTCAAATTCTATTGTCCTAGCCAGGCGTTTAGCATGTGAGGGTGGTTATGAAAGAAAGAAACAAGTTAGACGGCGTGACCAAACTCTTCTCAAAGCGTGATTCGGCTGTCCAACCACAGCTCTCCAAGCGCCACCAACTGGACGGGCATTGAAAGTGCACACCCGACACCCGTCAGTCAGTTCAACAACCCTGCGCCCACTCTCCCACTGAATGACACCCCCTCGGGCTCGGGCTCTCCCAAGCCCATTTCCGGGCAAAAAGTGTGAAGTCCTACCAGTGCCCTGCACCACCGGTTCAGCACAAAGTCCTACGGTATCAGCGCACCAGGCAGGCCAAGAAAATGTCGAATCGACTAACCATCTGATGTGCCGAGACGAGGCTATCGTAGATTTTGTTAGTGTGCCCAAGAAATCACCCCCCCTTGAATGGGTTGGTAAAGAACACTGCGTGAAACGAAAAGAGAACAAACTGTGACTTGTTGGACTCGAGATTAGTTAGCATGGGGCCTTATCGTAACCGCTAACGACCTTGGGATATCCAACCTCTAGGCATTCTTCATTGTTCTTGTGATGAAAAAACAAAGATAGCGCATCATGGCGGGCGAGGCACCTGACTGGGAACAAGTCACAAAATGCTGGATGAAAACCGAGCGATCCCTGCCTCTTCAAAGGGGAAAAGTGGACGTTAGACTCGGTGCAACTGAACCCCAAATACCTGACCGCACTAACAAGGACTCTTGAGAGGTTGCCGCCATCCCCCGATTGCCCCCAATCCCGCCTTCTCGTTTAGGTGCACCCGCCTATTGCCCGTGCCCGCAACCTAAGGAAGTAGTACAACGAGATCGAACTGCCTGTGCGTGCACCGCCCAGGGACGGGAGTGGTGTGCAGCAAGCGCCAGACATCCCGTCGTCGTCTTCGTCTGCCCGGCTTGTCGCTGTGTTTGGCTTCTGCCCGAATCGAACAAGGGCCGCCGCCGCCAGACCTATTGGATGCGAAACACAAAACCCCGCCATCGTTAGCATCATACCTCCTCTCCTACTACCTCTATCTGCTATCTTCTGCTGCCACCTCTACCGATATAGGTACGGTAAACTTCCATCTCTTGTAGCAACTTCCCGTCTCGTCCATACCAACCTGAACAGGTTCTGTGACAACGACCTCATCTTCTGCTTAATTTCGAGTCCTTGAAACGTTGAGCTTCAGTCCAAGATCAAAGGCAAAAGCCACCCTTTCTCTCTCTGCTAATGCTAATTGCTGCCCGCCGCCACTACCTCGTCTACCTAGGTCCAGCAGCAGTGTCTACCTTATAAAGTGTAGTGTGTACCTACCCTCGACCTCCATCCATCCATCCCTCCTTGGACTTCCTTATCCGTCCTCGCTGCCTTGCCTTGGCTCGCCTCGCCTTGGGAAGTGCTCAACCATCCATCAACAACCACCACGACGCATTCGTTGCATCGTCATACTGGCATGCCAGCAGCATTTTAGCCCGCAGGATCCCATCCCGTCGTCCTCCCTCCTCCCCCTCTCTCTCTCCGCCCCCCCGCTCTCCCGCTGCCGACACCGACACCGACACCCGACGGCCGTCACCGTCAGATATTATTATTGCCCGGAGCATCTTTACCTTCCATCCTCTCCCACCAGTAATCCATCTCCCCGCGTCGCCATCGGTCCGCCGGGCCCAACACCGCCACCATGAACGACGAAGACAAGGTCCACGACATCTCCAAGAAGATCGAGCGCGAAAAGGCTCTGATCAATGCAGCGCAGGCCATGCGCCAGCAGACAAACAATGAGCAGGTCCGCTCCAAGCTCGACACCCAGATGCGTGAAGGGAGGAGGAATCTCGAGTTCTTCGAGGAGAAGCTGCGCGAGCTGCAGATGAGGAGACTCGGCCACGGCGTCGACAACATGTCGCTCGGCGCCAGCCCAATGTCGGGCTCCCACCGACAGTCCGTCGACGACTTCGAGGGCCACGGCGCCCCCACTCCTCCTCCCAAGGAGGGCGGCCGCGGCCACAGCTCCCACCAGAGTCAGGGCAGCGGTCCTCTGATGCCCGCCTCTGGTCCTTATCCCGGTGGTCCTCCTGATTCTGCTGTTCCGCGGGCGCGTCCTAATTATACGAGGCTCGGTAAGTTGGACATGTCTCCTAGATCAAGATACCCTTCAACTGACCATGGCGGAACTATACTACAGATCTCATCAAGTTCGATACCCCACATCTTGGACCTCGCATCCAGCTGATGCTGTCCCAAATTCAGTTCAAGCTTAACGTGGAAGAACAATACCTAAAGGGCATTGAGAAGATGGTGCAGCTCTATCAGATGGAAGGTGACAAGAAGAGCAAGCTGGACGCTGCCGCCAAGCGTGTCGAAAGTAAACAAAAGATCGTCCTCTTGAAGCAGGCACTCAAGAGATATGAAGAGTTGCACATCGACATTGATGTTGATGGTCCAGATGGTAATATCCCCTTGGCTCCCTCACGCTGCTTTTGCAAGTACACCCTTTTACTAACTTGGGATAACGGCACAGACGACAGCATCAACCTGCCAGCCCTTAGGAAACCCCTGAGCGGTACTCTTTCTATTCGTATTTTGGCTGTAAAGGATGTCGACCATGCGCCCCTTGGTCGTTTTGCCCGCTCCCCCGAAACGTTTATCGCTGTCAAGGCTGAAGACATTATTGTTGCTCGCACACGACCATCGCGAAACGACAGGTGGGAAGCCGAATTCCACACTTTCCCGGTCGATAAGACGAACGAAATCGAGTTTACGGTTTACGATAAGCCCAGTGAGCATCCCGTGCCTATCGCCATGCTCTGGGTCCGAATCTCGGACATCGTTGAGGAGCTTCGCCGAAAGAAGATCGAGGCCGAAATGACGTCCGCAGGTTGGGTTTCGGCGGACCGCGTTGGCTCCAGAGCTCCTCCGCCGCAGTTCCCAATGGGCACCCAGAGTCCTCAGTTTGCGGCGCCGCCAACATCCCCTGGATCGCAGGAGCAAAACATCATGATCCCACCCCAGGCGCCTCCGCCATCCCAGGTTGTTTCACAGCCAGTCGATGGTTGGTTCAACCTGGAGCCTTATGGCCAGATCCATCTCAGTTTCAACTTCATGAAGGAGTCTCGTCCTCAGGGCATGGACAGGCTGGGTCGCAAGGGTGCCGTCCGTCAGCGCAAGGAGGAAGTCCACGAGATGTACGGGCACAAGTTTGTCCAGAAGCAGTTCTACAACATCATGCGCTGTGCGCTGTGCGGTGATTTCCTCAAGTATTCCGCTGGTATGCAGTGCGAGGACTGCAAGTACACTTGCCACACCAAGTGCTACACCAGCGTTGTTACCAAGTGTATCAGCAAAAGTAATGCCGAGACCGATCCTGACGAGGAGAAGATCAACCACCGCATCCCTCATCGTTTTATTCCTTTCTCCAACCTTACCGCCAACTGGTGCTGCCACTGCGGTTACATGCTACCAATTGGATCCAAGAAGAACTCGAGAAAATGCTCAGGTATGTTGGGTTTTCCCAATGTTTTGCGTGCATCGATATGCTGACAATTATGGCAGAATGTGCTCTTACGGCTCACGCGCAATGCGTGCACCTTGTTCCTGACTTCTGCGGCATGTCTATGGCTGTCGCCAACCAGATCTTGGAGGGTATCCGAACACAAAAGAAGACCCATAAGGATAAGGCTTCGTCGATGAGTGAGCGTACCCTTAGGCCGGGAAGCAAGACTTCGTTCTCGTCCGGCTCGATCGCACAGACGTCGACGTATAGTGGTTCGACTGCTTATACGTCCATCGCTTCCCCTGAAGCAACCGAGGCTGCCAAGCTCATGTACAGCCAAACAACACCCAGGCCAGCCGGCCCCGACAGGACCTCTACCAGCTCGACAACCGCCTCGGCGGCTGCGGCTGCGGCTATGGCACCAAAGCACAGCTCTCAGCCTTCACAGGCCGGTTCGATACCCGACTTTGGTGGAAACTACGGTGGTTCTGGCAGCTATGGGCATCCGGAATCTCGAGAGGACGAGTACAACGCCCAGCAACAGCAAGGATATGGCTCCCCGCAGCAACGGAAGTATAACCCGGCGGACTACGCTAATATCGGCGCCTACTCGAGCCCACCCCAGGCTCAGCATCCCCAACAGCAACAGCAGCAACAGTCACCCCAGCAGGTCTCACCAATGTACCAGCAAAATCCGCAAACACCTATTTCCAAGCCCCAGCCTGTGGCGCCATCCTATGATAACCAGGTGGTACCCTCCGCCTCCGGAGTGCCAGTCCCGACCAAGAAGCCGCTGCCATCGGCCACTGACCCCGGCACGGGCATGAGGATCGGTCTTGACCACTTCAACTTCCTCGCCGTGCTTGGCAAGGGTAACTTCGGCAAGGTCATGCTTGCTGAGACCAAGAAGAGCCGGAAGCTGTATGCCATCAAGGTGTTGAAGAAGGAGTTCATCATTGAGAATGACGAAGTGGAAAGCATCAGGTCGGAGAAGCGCGTCTTCCTGATTGCCAACCGCGAACGTCACCCTTTCCTCACGAACCTCCATGCCTGCTTCCAGACAGAGACCAGAGTCTACTTCGTCATGGAGTACATTAGCGGTGGTGATTTGATGTTGCACATTCAGCGTGGAATGTTTGGCACCAAGCGTGCTCAGTTCTACGCCGCTGAGGTCTGCTTGGCCCTCAAGTACTTCCATGAGAACGGTGTCATATACCGTGATCTGAAGCTTGATAACATTCTCTTGACTCTTGACGGACACATCAAGATTGCCGACTATGGTTTGTGCAAGGAGGACATGTGGTACGGCTCAACCACTAGCACCTTCTGCGGTACTCCCGAGTTTATGGCGCCCGAGATTCTTCTGGACAAGAAGTACGGCAGGGCGGTGGACTGGTGGGCGTTCGGCGTTCTGATATACCAGATGCTGCTCCAGCAGTCCCCCTTCCGCGGCGAAGATGAGGACGAAATCTACGACGCCATTCTGGCCGATGAGCCGCTTTACCCGATCCACATGCCCAGAGACAGCGTGTCGATCCTGCAGAAGCTGCTCACCCGCGAGCCTGATCAGCGTCTGGGCAGCGGCCCGACCGACGCGCAGGAGATCATGTCGCAGCCCTTCTTCAGGAACATCAACTGGGACGACATCTACCACAAGCGGGTGCAGCCGCCGTTCCTGCCCCAGATCAAGAGCGCGACGGATACGAGCAACTTTGATAGCGAATTTACTAGTGTCACTCCGGTGCTCACGCCCGTTCAGTCAGGTATGTTTTATCGCATAATAACTCCACCATGCAACGTTCTCATAACTAACATAACCCGTCTTTACACAGTCCTCTCCCAAGCCATGCAGGAAGAGTTCAGAGGCTTCTCCTACACTGCCGACTTTGAGTAAACAAGCGATGTTCAAGTAACTTGAGGTGTGCTAGCATTTGTTGAGGGATTAATACGTACTTGGGCGGGCGATGATGATGATGCCTATAAAAAGAAGAAATGGGAACCACAAGGCGGGACCGATGATGTGGTGTGGTGTGGTGTGGTGTGGTGTGGTTTGAACATTGGGAAAGAAGAAGATCTAATAGTTATTGAACTCTAGTTATTATCCTATAGAAAGAGAAAGAAGAGAACAAGCGAAATGATGAAAGCCTTTTCGGTTTCGGGTTTGGGTCGTTAAGAGCTGAGGTTTGTGGAAGTTGCATGAAAGAGAAGAGAAGGTTTGCTTTTAGCCTGCTTTTCACTTTGGTTGAACACTGGTTTCATCCGGTCTTTAACTTCCTCAAGGTTCCAAGCGTTGTTTAAGAGATACCATGGAGAGTTTGCTACTAGGAGGTTGCGTGTGGTGTGTGGTCAGAAGATAATGATCTCTATTGTACACTAGAGTAGTAGACTGTTTTTCACTTGATCTAAAACCCCACCTATTTTTCTGTACCCGTCCCTTCTAAAGATGCCGATTATATATACGAAAGATGAGTTGGTCATTTATGTATGTATGTATGCATGTATACAAGAAGAAATATGTCCGTCTATCTATATACAACATCATCGTCGTTCATCAAACAAGTTACATATAACGAAAGGAAAGGAAGATAGGCTCATGCCGCAACAACACACAACAACATCATACGACCGCGATCAACAACCCAACCCAACTGAACCCAACCACGCCACCAACCAGCGTTCTAGTAAAAAGTCCGCCCGCTCCCTTTCAAATGCCGCCCAAAGCTTTTTAAAACAACATTAAGACGAAAAAAACCAAAAAGTCTACCTATCTATGTAAATCCACTCGTGTAAAACAAAACAAATCTTCAGGCCTTACCGCTACCACTCCTCAAAACGAAAAACGCAACGCTAGCCACCACCGCCGCACCCGTCGCCGCGCTCTCCAGCGCCAGCAGCGACACGTCCTTCATCTTGAGGTCTATCCTCCTATCGCTGTAGAGGTCCAGGACGGCGGCCTTGATCTGTTGAGGGTCTGAGAGCGTTTGCTTCCATTTTTGGGCGGTTTCTTTCCATGTCAGTGGTGGTTGCGGTTCCGCTTCTGGTATTTGAGTTTCTGGTTGTGTTTGTTGTTGTTGTGATTGTTGCTGGTTTTTGGGCGGCCTCTTCAGCAGCAGCCTCCTCCGCGGCAGCGGCCATGAATTCCGCGCCTAGATCCATTTCACCTTCACCTGCTTCTCCTTCACTTCCCTGGGGGGTGACAGAGGGAGTAAAAGCGTTGAGGGCTTGCAGTTCCCTCTCCTGCTCCATCAACCTCGTCAAATGCGCCATCTCCCTCAGCCCACTCTGCTCCAGCGCCTGCCTCACTTGTCCCAGTTCATGTCTGACCTCGTCAATCACCCCCTTTTCGTTCTCCGCGATGCCCTTAATCAAGCGCTTCCTCCTCCACGGCTCGGCAACGAACTGCAGCACCAAAAAGAGTAACACGTTGACGCCCATCAGGCCCCATGTGCCCCACGTCGATGACCGCCTGATCCTATCCGACCAGATCTGTTCCTCGTGGTACCGCTTCAGTATCCCCGCGTTCAGGTCGGCAGACAACTTGCTCTCCTCCGTCTCCGCCTCGGTAAGTTCCTGCGCCGCCTGCGCCACCTGCGCTTCCAGCTCGTGGTCGAGCCTGTACAGACTCGTGAACCGTTCCAGGTCCAGCGGGTTCCACGTATCTTTCCTCGCTAGCAGGGTGGTCACCTCGCGCTGCGTCGAGGCGCGGTGCATCGTGAGAGACTTGTAGTTGTGTCGGGCGTCGCGCAGGCGTGTCTGGGCTGCCCCGTGCGCGACTTCCAGCTCGGCGTTTTGCCGCTTGATCTGCTCGATGGCGGAGTAACCGGTTAGATCGTTGAGGGTTTGGGTGGCGGTCAAAAGGCGGGTTTGGAAGTTGTCCATTATGGTGGAGAAGCGGGCGGAGAGGCGGGCGCGGTGGGCTTCGGTGCGGGAGGGAAGTTCGGGCTGGCCTGGGGTGGTGCCGTTGTTGTTGGCGTCAGTTGTATTTTCGGTTGTGGTTTCCGATGTGGTCTCGGACGAGTTGGCGGCGTTGTCGCTGGTGGAAGCTGAGGATTCGGACTCGGTAGTCTTGGAGGATTCGGACTCGGAAGTTGCTTGCGTTTCTGTTTCGGGCTTGGTGGCATTGGCGGTAATGTCTTCTTTGGCAGACTCTATCGGGGCTTCCGTTTGAGCCGGGGGAGGTGGTGGCATGAAGATGACATTGGAAGAAGATTCGGTCTCCTTGTTGTCTGCCTTATTCTCGGCGCTGTCTTTACTGGGAGGTTGAGTCGAGAAGAAGAGACGGCCGTCGCGAATAGAGAGGCGGAGGGTGCCCTGGCGCATGGCGCATATCGAGGGGTTTATCGGTCTTCGTGGTACGGGAGTGCCGAATTGGGAGAGAGGACGGCCGGATGACAGCGCGCCAGCTCCGGTGCCCCTCCAGGAGGAAGGGCGCACAGCTAGCCGCATAGCCGTGGTGGAAGACATTACGAGGGTATGTGTTGGAGAGAGTTAAAGAGAGAGAAGATGGGTGGCCCAACCCAGACCAGACAGGAGCGGAAAGAAGGAGAGAGAGATCTGGGTCAGTTGCAACGAGCGAGTGTGTTGCTGTCGGAGCTGTCTGTTGTCGAAGGTGGACGTCGTCGGCGGCGGCGGTTGGATGCGGTCGAGTGGTGCCAGCAATCGCGCGACTTGGAGCTTGGGGGAACTTGGGAGAATTGCCGGCAACCTTGAGGAACACCCGGCAGTCGGAGGAAGAGCAGTGACGACTTGACGAGCCAATTCCAACTTGTCAATCCCACTTTCTTCCAATTCCATCCCAACTCCCAAGTCCACCCAATCGGCCCCACCAAGCCGACTTTCTGCCGTCCGATATCCCCTCAACACCCCTCACCGCCTTTGATGTTAGCTGGGAATACCGTAACGTCATCATATAACCCTAACCCTTTCTTTGGTCTTTGGTTCCTCTTGGCAACTCCGGGACTATCCCCGTTTGGGTATCACGACCAAACAAAGCCCCTGGATTCCTGGTCTCCATGATCGATGACCAAGGGGCCCAAGTCCATGTGAGACACTCGTTGTCCGGAAGGGGTCCGGCATCACCAGCATGCGGACACTTTGCACCAATGCACTCCTTGGAGACTCGCAGTGACGTTTCCCGTCCGATGTTTGACGCACAAGTCTATTTTTCTCCAAGGTTCCGTCACCCAGTAGTTCGGGAGTTGTCGCCCGTCCCTCCTCCGCCTTGACTCCTCGGGGATCAAGACCTCTCTCATGATGTCTTTTTCTCTTTCTTTCTTTCCTTTTACGTTAGAAACCTAAAATCCGTGGGTTTTCTCTTGGCTTGCTGTTGTACTTGGTCGCTCTCATCCAGCCTTCTTTTCCGTCCCTTGTGGATAACACAACTCTCCTTCAAACCCTCGTGTTTTGCTCACTTTGTATACATAGGGATGCAGGTTACCCATCTAATCATGCTGCATGCCGCACTGGCCGTAGCTCAGCTTTCAAAATCCGGGGAGGATGGCACATTAAGCGGAGACAGTGCCTTGACAGCAAAAGCGGAAGTGGAAGGAGAAGGTCTTGCAGCGACCACACCATCGAGTCTGCCCACCAACTACGGTTTCTTGAACACCATCTCGGAGCCAGATCCGACCGTCATGGCCGATCTAAACACAGCAGGAGAAACACCAATACCAAATAGCCCTCGCGATGCAGAAACCGATCTTGCCGTGGGATCTACAGGGGTTAATGAGGAGGAGCCTGAAGGTGGAGGATCACCACAATATCTAGTGTCGAATCGGCCAGCAACTTCTGAACCAGTTCAGCCAGAGACAGCGCCCCCAGAAGAAGCCACTGTTCAAGATTTGGATCAAGCTGCGTCACCACCGACGGAGACGACGGGAGTTTTCACCTCTGATTCACCGGGCAGTCCTATCGCTAGTAGTACACCAGTTGTTGCTTCCGTACCTAGCGACGAAACCCTGGCAGAGACATCATCCACAGTCACTCCGACTCCATCTCCAGCTGAGGCCACAGGTGAAGCAGCCATTCTTGCCGTACCTGACAATTCCTCATCCCAACCTGAAGGCCTGGGGACACAATCGCCATCCATATCAACGCCCGCCACGCCCACGGCACTGGCAGCAACCGAAACCGAAACCGGCACAATCCCAGCACCACCACCACCATCAACCACCTTCCTCTCAGTCATAATTTCATCCTCCAGCGATCCTGCCAGCCTTGGGTTTACCGCAATAGCCACAAACTCTTCGTCCTCACTCACACTCACATCCCTTTCACCAACCGATTCCGCTTCAGGATTTGTTGCTTTAGCCACGGATTCCTCTTCATCATCCTCCTCCTCTTTCACTTCTTCTTCTAGTTCTATCGCCTCCACAACCACCATCAGCCAACCAGCAATGGTCTCCACCACCGACATCGACGATACCTCCTTGCAACCAGCGAATACATCCTACCCACACTCCTCAAACGAGTACCTCTCCTCCCAAGCCAAGGTGGCCATCGCACTGGTCTCGGTGGTCGGTGCGTTAGCTGTCGCGGCAGTCATTGGCTATGTGCTTTGGCACATGAGGATGCGGGATGCTCGTCTTAGACGGAACCAAGCGGCAGTAGCGCGCGGAATGGGTGGCGGTGGTGGTGCTGGTGCTGGTGTTGCTGGTAGAGTTACTGGAAATGCTGGTGTTGCAGAGAAGGGCAAAGGCAATGGGGTTGGGGGTGCAGGAAAAGTGGCAAGCAGACATAAACGAAATCTAAGCGTGGAGAAAAAATGAATCAAGCTCTGGAAAAGGAACATGATGTCCCACTGGATATTGGAAAACTTCAGTCTCAGTCTCAGTCGGAAGCGCAGGATGGCCTTGGGAAGACTGCTGCGAAAGCTACTGTCAACAACCGATTCAGCACGTTCAGCGCCATTAGCGAGAGCAAAGAGGAGGGAAGCGGGGACAGCAGTCGCCCGGGGACCCAGTCGAGCGAAAAAAGTGGAAGCCAGGCTTCTTCTTCTTCGTACGGCAACGACGAGCCGTTGGCAGCTATGGCGTCATCCGTGGCCTTGGGTAGTGAGGTGAGTATAGCTACGGCTACGGCAAGTGAGAAGGAAATGGGTGGTGTTGGGTACGGACTCGGGAGGAGCGAAAGTCTGGAGAGCGAGGAGAGTCATTATAGTGAAGGGGGACAAGATCAGTTTGAGAGGACCGAGACGTTGGAAGTTCAGCGAGGTCGGTGTGTGCATGAAAGAAGCGAGAGCCTGCGCAGTCAATGGAGCGATGTGGAGGAGTATTACGGGATAGGAAGGTTGGAGACGGATGTGCCAGGGCCTGAGAGTGGCTCAGCGGGCGACGTTGTTGCTGGTACTGGTGTTGAAGCGTTGGGGTCAGAAGAGACGTTGGTGAGGACGGAGTCGGGTGCCTCGACGTCGTCGGGCCGGTCAGCGAAAACCATTGGAAAGGCGATCTGAATAGTCAACAAAACTCGGCTAGCCACTCCATCGTGATGGATGTCGGTTTGCGAAGCCCGAATTCACTCGTTAACGATCATTCTTGGGGCCTCTCACATGCGAAGTGTTTGAAGACGTTTTCGAGAGCCGCGTTCTAGCCGTCGAGCTGTTGTAGGAAGTCGTGCCCCAGGCGTGGCAGTCCAGATTCCGTTTGCATTTTTATCGGCAAACAGCCCCCAGCGGAACATTGCCGGCATCTCGTGGATTGCTGCAGGAAGACAAGTTGAGGACATGGCCGGATGGTTGATTTCTCGGAAGGTTGTGGGGTTGAACCTTCCTCTTTTATAAAGGCAGTGCCAACTCCCAAGGAAAGGAGTGCCTCGACACACTCAAAACTGACTCCATTCATCACATCTTCCACCCCGCCTACCTACTATCACCCGAGACCAAGTCTACTTACTACTTCCATTTCGTTCACATCATTCTTTCCATCTCAGCTTCACTACGGCTAAAATGGCCTCGCCTGTGGTTACACGCCCGGCTCTGGGCTACGAAGTCGGCCTGGGAACACTCTACGACTCTCGCACCGATACCTTCCTCCCTCACTCGCTCTTCAAAGAGACACCAACCAATGCAGTTGACTCTCAGGCAAAGGTCAATTCGATTGCCAAACTCAGCAAGGCAACCACGTTCCGCCAGAAGCTTGCGGATCTTGGTATTGGCACCGAGCTCGGAGCAAGCATTCTTGCAGGTCTTTCTCCCATTGACGGCTGTGGTCTCTACTTGACCGATCATCACAAAGCTCCCGGCGACATTGTCCACTCTTCCCTACATCATACGATCACGACGGTTGAGGAGGAGCTCAATCTTACTGCCAGCGGTGTCAAGGACCTCATCATACCCGACGTTCTCAACGACACTATTGCCACCCACGTCGTCACCGGCATCACCTGGGGTGCTCAATTCATTGTCACGGCTTGCGCCAAAGCCGATGAGCCAACTCAACTCGCCCGTCTCCAGCATGCCTTGACAAGGAGTTTGAAAGTCTGCTACAGGATGCCCTCCAAGCCACTCCTGCTATCGAATTTTCTTCGACGGAGCTTGTCCAGTATGACTCTTCACAGGATATTGTTCAGTATGACTCTTCACAGGATATTGTTCAGTATGACGAAGGCGATGGCATCTTTCATTTTTGCAATACTTTGTCGGTCCTGGACAATGGTCTTGCAGGTGATGCACGTCATCAGTCCGCCCATCTTCGATTGCCTTCATCCATGATCTTCGCAGCCGCCTCTATGCTACCAATGGTGCCAAGGGAAAGCCTATCCACTACACTCTCATGCCCTTGTCGCTGCTATCTATGCTTCGGCTCATCAACATCCAACATCAACCTGTCATTCACCAACCCAACATCGATTACCTGACGTACTTCATACAGTTTCTCGATGACTGGGCAAATGCACAACAGAAGTTCAGCAACTATGTTGCCCGATGCAAGGTGTGTCCCTCGGCTATTCCATCCGACCACCTGCGTTTCATTGTGCGAAAGCTCCGCCCCGTCAAGACTGATGAGCTTGCCTTCAAAGCAAGCTTTGCAGAAGCCCTCAAAGATGCCCGTTACGGCAAAGCGAACGAAGACAGGTTGCAAGACTTGCTTGCAGGGGCTGAAGGCAGTGCGTTGTCGCCTGAGAAGCTTCGCTCTATGGCGAACCACCGTGGAACACTCGATTTCCATGACCAGATGAGCAGCCTTGGAGCGACTTACCTTGGATACGGCTCAAATTCTCCCACCACGATTCTCTCACGCGGGAACTACGATGACGCATTTGTCCTGAACTTCAACACCAGCTTACGAACATCACTAGAGTGGGAAGAGACAATTCAGCTCTTTACGGAACTCTCCGCCAGCAAAGGAAATCGAACACTACTGATTGCTGTCGACGCCGATGCTGTCGGACACCTTCTGGACAAGGTCTATATCTGCCATTATCGGAGCGGCCGTGTTTTCATCGAGGATCTCCTGGAACATCGCAAGATCCTGGCATCCAACTGCATTATGCAATATGACCAAGAATGGCTGGACAACTCCATTAACACCAAGCCAGTTCAACGACGTCCTGTCAAAGTCCCCTGTCCCCATCAAGGCTGTGACCAGACCTTGGATTGCCAGTGGATTTGCGCTTTGTGCCGTTCACTTGTCGAGTACGGCCATGTTGATGACCGCCTCTATTGTGACTGCGGAGCTACTCCTTTCGACCACTGGGACTTCAAGTGCCAAGACCACAGACACGGGCCAAGATGGACACGGTACGAACGTCCTGTGCTCTCTCAACTCCTCAACAACCTGAAGCCCTTCGATGAATTGAACATATTGATTCTGGGCGAGACTGGAGTGGGAAAGTCGACTTGGATCAATGCGTTTGTCAATTACCTGAGCTACGACACTCTTGAGGATGCTCTACAAGCGGATGACCTCAAGTGGGTGATACCCTGCTCTTTTAGTACTCAGCTTAAGGACGACTCAGATGGGAGGGGCAAGTTTGTTCAGAAGGACATAAAGATCGGGTCCAGCAAGAGCGAGCATGATGGAGCTCGTGGGCAATCAGCCACCCAGTCAACTGCCGTGTACACTGTTGACATTGACAACACAAGGGTTCGACTCATTGACACGCCTGGTATCGGCGATACCAGAGGCTTGGAGCAGGACAACAAGAACATGGCTGACATTCTTCACGTCCTTCGCACATACAAGAAGCTTCACGGAATCTTGATTCTTCTCAAGCCTAATGCCTCTCGATTAACGGTCATGTTTCGATTTTGCATCAAGCAACTCTTGACCCAGCTGCATCGTAACGCAGCCGCCAACATTGTCTTCGGATTCACCAACACCCGTGGCTCGAACTACAAGCCCGGAGACACCTTCAAGCCCCTGGAAGCCCTTCTGAGCAACTACACCACGGTACAGCTAGGCCTATATGAGCACAACGTGTACTGTTTCGACTCGGAGAGCTTTCGCTACCTCTCTGCTCAGAAGAAAGGTATTGACATGGGCCTCCTCGAAGACAACATGAGAAGCTGGGAATACTCCGTCGCCGAGTGTAGGCGACTTGTCAAGTACGTCGGCGAGCTTACTCCTCACAACGTCCGCAGCACCATCAACCTCAATGAGACTCGTGACTTGATCGTGAAGTTGACAGAGCCAATGGCGCTGATTGCCCAAAAGATTGCAAGCACCATTGCCGTCAACAGCGACGAGATCAAACAACTCCAGACCGGGAAGCTTTCCAGAGATGAACTCGGGAAGAGTCTCTATGTGCAACGTGAGAGCGTCGAGTCGTATGAGGTGGGTGAGCCTCGTACAATTTGTACCCATCACGACTGCGTTGAGGTGCGGAGCGACTTCCAAGGACGCGATGAGACGGTGATTGTCTATAAACAGATGTGCCACAAGCCTTGCCAGCTCGGAAATGAGGTCAAGAGAAACACGAAGGGGGACCCTGCGCTCAAAAATTGCTGGGCTATCCAACATGATTTTTGCAGGATATGCAGCCACAACTACATGGACCATATGCACATTTACTACGACTATCGATCCATGACCTACAAATACGAGGACAAGAACATCGCACAGGATCTGATCAAGTGGGCATCTAAGCTCGGCTTCAGCAAAAGGCCATCGACATGCGCAAGGAGGCGGTGGCAGATTTCGAGATTGAGTATGCTCAGGTCCAAGAGGCAGCCATTCAGTTCGGTTTCTTTCTGAAGCGTCACGCCATTGAACCTTACAACGATGCCACTATTGAGTATGTTGACCATCTGATCAACCAGGAGCGTCTGAAGATCAAGGCCGGTGGCAAGAAGGACACTCTGGAGATGTTCGAAAAGTACAGGGACGAACACGTCCAGAAAGTCAAAATCCTGACCGAAGCCATGGAGAGAGGCGATGTGGACCGCGTCATTGACGACACACATGTTCGGCAGCTCGTCGACAGATTATACGGCCTGCCACACTTTGGCGAAGATCTTCGGAGAATCGTGACGGTCAACGAGAAAGCTGCCGAGGGCTCGTTCCGGGAGCGATCATACAACGTGTCGGCCGGGTCACACTGGACGAAGGCCAGCAAGGGGAAGCTGACAGCCCATCGGAAGGAGGAGGAGAGCAGGCTGAAGACCATGTCAAACCGATTCGCTCCGCTGGCCTCGATGTCTGGTTATGGTCCCGGGAATCCCGGGCATCCGCACGAGGTTGTCCATGTCTCTCAAGAGGGAAGACTTGGGGGGCAGAGCGATCCCATGGCGATGGAGGTCGACTCTCACTGGGACCCCACCGTGGGGATTAGGCTGCAAGCTTCGAGAATTGTTCGGTTTCTTGGGTTCGGTAGTAGTAATGTGTCTGAGTGATGTGTTTCCTGGAAAATGGTGCTGAACATGTAGTGTATTTCTTCTTGAGAGATGAGACAGTGGAGATTAATTTGTGTATAGCTGATTCAAGAGAGGCTCTGTTCACAAGAGAGTAGTCTCATATTTAGTTGCAATGTAAGAACTGCATTTACCTTGCACAATCGTGTGAACTGTCAGCGAACGAAGGACGGGATGTCGCTTTAGTCGAACCGATGTGCGCGCAGACACATTAGGCGGTGCGACAGGCACGCCCAAGTCCTGCTTTTCCCATCATTAACTCGGTGTTAGGACTTGATGCTTCTATGTTGCCGTTATGATACAGACTCTCATGGTCCAGTTCCTCTTGGCTCTCTACATACCATTGCAGAGCAGTTCAACTTTCCAACCGTGAACTTCATACCTGCGACTGGACAGGATGTCATCTCAACCTTCAGCGACCGCGGCCATCGCAAAAGTCCCATTGAGAGTTACGACTGAGCCTGAACACCGCCTCCCCCTGACCTCAACCCCTCAACAACTTGCTTCAACCACCAAACATGTATCCTCACATCATCCGTCAACTCCGGGTGGAAACTCGTGCCGAATACGTTGCCCTGCCGCACCGCAACGATATCATCTCCTTCTCCCGTCCCTTGTGGCTTAGGGTAAGTCCCCAAGACCTGCACCTTTTCGGTCTTCTGCCTCTCCTTGAGTCTGGCGATCTCATCGTTCCCTAGCTCTACCGCATTCTCAGCGGTACCAGAACCGGAAGTGATAATCTCCTCCACCACAGGCGCACGGATAAACACGCCTCTGAACGGCTTCTTATCTTGTTCTTCCTCGAGGAAAGGCAGCCGCAAATCCCCCACGAAACTCTGGATCTGCGTGCCGTACCAGTTTCTCAGGACTTTGACGTCCAACCCGCCGATAAGTTCCTGTCCGCCTTGTTTGGTTGCTGAGGCAGCAGAGGCGAGCATGACTAGGCCGGCGCAGGTACCCCATGTTGGTTTGTGTTGGACTCTGTGAGGTGGTGGGAAGGGTTAGTGATTTTGTTTGTTGTTTGTTGTGGGGGAGAGAGGGCAGACGAAAGGGGCAAGTGGGTTGAGGAAAGAGAAGAACGAGTGAAGGCAACAAAGAGGACTTGCTTCACAAATTCCCGTAGCGGATCAAGCAACCCCAGTCGTCGGGCGACTATCGCCATGGTGGTGCTTTCTCCTCCCGGGATAACAAGGGCGTCGCATTGCGAGAGCTGGGCGGTGGTGCGGACTTGGATGAAGTTGAACTGCGGCGTCGATGTTGACGAGGAGTCTGTTGATTGTTGTGATGATAGCTGGACAGCCGCTTTTTGGAGGAGGGAGATGTGTTCGATGACGCCGCCTTGGAGGGCTAGGACGCCGACTGTTATTTGTTGGGGGGTTACTGTGTCGACGGTCATTGTGTCTGTCCAAGATGTCTATGTGGTGTTTGGTAGGTAGGAAGCGATGACCTGCTCTGGGTCAATGGCGGGAGGAATATTATGAGATGGTCGGTTATGAGATGTGATATCGTAGGATGTGGTCGAGTGACTCAATGGCTAGTGAGTTGTTGATGGGTCTTTTGGTTACACCGTTCAGGTGAACGATGGAGTGTAGAAGATGGGGTGCGATATCGGAAGTTCTCTGTAAGTGATAAGGGAATAATTCCAGCACTCAGGTATGTTTGGTACGTTTCCTTCCTTTTCGGAGTTCGAGATTTGTGTGGACTTCAACGATGACTCTTCATTTGGATCGGCTGCTGTAACCTTGCTGTGTAGCTTGGGGAACGACTGCAGCGTAAATTCAGAAAGAAGCTAATTCTCGCAAACACGGCCAAAGAAGGCTGGTGTTGATATCATCGAATACCCCATGGGCCCCGGTTAACAAAGCCGAACATAGGCGGCGATGGTAGTATCGTCGGGTAATGGGATTGGTGTTGCCACTCGGGGGGTCTGTGCAATGATCGCGGCCTGGTATCAGCGGCAGGTGCAGAGCAGCGGGAAGCGGGACGAGCGGGAATCTCCTGTCATGGAGAGGAGTTCTGGAGGCGATTTAGAGTCACACAGGGCTCCCGATCAATGTCCGTGAACTCCTCTTCGCCTCAAACATCCCCCGCTTAACCGCGGAACCCGATCCGACCCGGAACGGAACCCTTTTTCTGGACGAGTCTGATCGGCACAAGAGAGGATCCGTAAACTGACTCACTGTGTGAGATGGACATGGAAAGCGCAAATTGGTGTTGATTTCACATTTTCGACTCGTCACTGCAGCGAATGTGTATCAAATGCTTGTGGTTGCACTTGCCCCTCGAGGCGAGCTCTTTTCTTGGTTGCCATTGCCAAGCTTCCACGGCATGCTCCAAGCGAGGAAGAAGCAACGTTTTGAGGGAAATATCCATTCAGCATCAAGGAAGGAGGAAGCGAGCTGAGGTTCAAAGTAACCGAGGGGTTACAGAGAAACTTTTGTTGATGCAGGAACGACACTTCAACCGTTCGTGCCTTCTCTGCGTGTCTGGTTTCCCGAGTGTTGGTCAGTCAAACTACTTCCGGATCAGATGAGATTGGGGACGCCGATAGATACCCAAAGCGGATATCTCGTTCGCTTTGATTGGCTTCCGACAAGCTCGAAACATGAAACTGATCGATCGACACTGGGTGGCTGACAGCCGAAACAATGACAGAAAGAAGATAAAGTTGCCGAGTGTCCATGCCTGTTGAGAAAGATGACTAATACATGACCAGTGACTCCATATGGGTCCGAAGCCAAGTTCGACTCCCCTCCCGGGCAACGCCGGGATCAACGGCTCTCAGACCTCTCTCCTCCATCACACCTCACAAATCCCCAACATCTTTGTGTTCTGTACTGTAACGCTACTTCCTTCCGTACGGTACCTGCCAGTCCAAGAGGTTGCAGTTGTCGCCCACACTACTGCAACAGCCGTGGGGAATAATGGTGGACGAGGAAGCTGCGAAGGTCTCGAGGGGTCCAGATCGTCCGATATAGCCGCACACCCAGAGTCCCAGAGACGCTCCTTCCTCCTACACGGGATTGTACGTACTTTCCCCCCCCCCCCCCCTCGAGCCCCTCCATGCAGCACTCTCCAATATCTGAGTCATCACGTAATGTCAGTGCGCTTCAAAAAGTCTATTTCCACGACCTGTGCCCGTGACCAGTTTGCTGTGATAGTAGAACAAAAGCATCAAACATCAAGGCTTTGATCCGGATTCTGATCGAGCTTCATCACCAACTTCTTCACTCTTACCTTTACCACTCCCCCACATCACGAGTGTTACGCACGTACCCTTCCTTACCTCACAAACAATCCTCATCACATCCAGAATGGCCTCCGCATCCACCACCGACGACTTCACCGTCAAGGCCGGTCTCGCCCAAATGCTCAAAGGCGGCGTGATCATGGACGTGACCACTCCTGCCGAGGCCCGCATCGCCGAAGAAGCCGGCGCATGCGCCGTCATGGCCCTCGAGCGCATCCCCTCGGACATCCGCGCCGCCGGCGGCGTAGCGCGCATGTCCAACCCATCCATGGTCAAGGAGATCCAAGCCGCGGTCACCATCCCCGTCATGGCCAAGGCGCGCATCGGCCACGTGGTCGAGTGCCGCATCCTGCAACAGCTGGGCGTCGACTACATTGACGAGTCCGAAGTGCTTACCCCGGCCGATGACCAGTTCCACGTGCAGAAGGACGGGTTCAAGGTCCCGTTTGTGTGCGGATGCAGGAACCTCGGCGAGGCCCTCAGGAGAATCAAGGAGGGCGCGGCCATGATCAGGACCAAGGGCGAGGCCGGCACGGGTGATGTGGTTGAGGCCGTTAAGCATATCAGGACGGTCAACGCGGAGATTGCGCAGGCCAAGGCCGCGCTAGCGAGCGGAGGGGAGCTGGCGGTGGCCAAGCTGGCGAGGGAGATTGGGTGCGATGTTGAGCTGCTTAAGACGACGGCCGAGCTCGGCAGGTTGCCGGTGGTCAACTTTGCAGCGGGAGGTGTGGCGACGCCGGCGGACGCGGCGCTCATGATGGAGTTGGGCTGCGATGGTGTTTTTGTTGGCAGTGGTATCTTTAAGGATGCGAAGACGCCTGAGCATGCGGCGCAGAGGGCGAGGGCGATTGTCAAGGCTGTGGCTCACTGGAATGATTATGGTGAGTTGGTGGAGGCGTGCATTGAGCACGGTGAGGCTATGAAGGGTATTAGCAATGCGGGCATGAAGCCTGAGGAGAGAATGGCCGGAAGGGGTTGGTAAAGAGCGGAAGTCTGCCGCTTTGTTGAAGACGTGGTTGATATTATGAAGAGTAGTCAAAAAGGGGGTAGGAACGGCACCCGCGACTGTACGAGGTGATGTTGAGTTGCAACGTGTAGGAGCTTCCGCTGTTAGTTAGACGTTATGAATGTGATGAGAGGTTTGAAGCCATAGTTCTATTACCAATGTGGAAAAGAAGAGTGCTCGCAGAAGCAGCTTGACATCACCGCGTGCCAATCTGTACAGATACGTATGAGTTGAGAGGATCAGATTTCTCCTTTCGTCCTCTCTTTTTCTCTGATTGTTTGTTGCGTTTCCTTTTCCCTCCCTTTATTCGGGCCCTCACTGCCATAGATATACCTATATTCATTCAGGCGGTATTGCCCACCTCAACCGATATAACTTGACCGATACTCAATGCCAAATACTGGTACTGAACATGCAGACAAAAAACCTGATCTTACATCACTTTGTTAAAACCGGTAAAACGAAAGCGCGCATTAAACATGTGCCATGTACCATTAGTCAGATCCGCACGTCTCAGCATCCTGCATTGAAAGGTCGCAGTCCATGCTTCTGCTCTCAACCTCAATCGACACACCACGAACACAACGAATCTCCCCAGAACTCCAAGCTTCTACGGATCTACCTTGACTTCCTCAACGGTGTCTAGCCCCCGCATCCAGTACCCCGAATCGGGATCCGGGACCCTAGGCCGTGCATAGCCATCCTAAGGCTCCGCGTCATCATCATCCGACTCCAAGTCCGGATCCGGCACCTGCATGTCTGACGGCAACGGCGGCATCATCTCCACACTCGTCGGCTGAAGCGGCGGCGGCTGGTGCGAAGGCGGGATGAGCGTATACGGCAAGTTGCTCGGGAGCCCCTGAGCCGCCGCCGCCGCCGCCGCCTTTCTCTCGTCCTCCCTCTTGATCTTGGCCAGCATGTTGCGCACGTCGCTCTTCTTGACGTACTGATACTTGTCGCCGAACGAGATGCGGATGCCGATGGTCAGCTGGCGGAGGGTGCACTGGGCGTCCTGGTGCATGATTTTGAGCCAGCGGGCGCCGTCCTGCTCGATCTTGCGGAACTGGGCCGGCACGTTGACGCCGGGCTGCTCGCCCGTGAACGGCTCGTGGTTGTGCTCGGCGCACTGCACGATCACCCGCCACTTGTCGTCGTACGGCCACGCTTTTTCTTGCACGGCTTTCATCTTCATCGGACACCCCGTCTTGGTCGACCGAGATTGCCGGATTCCCCGGCTGTGGGAGGTGTACGTCTTGCCGCCCTTGGAACAGCAGAGGTTGTACCGCCGGTAATGTCCGTCAGGATCGCGGTTGAGCGAGGACACGATCACGCAGGCGTAGCCTTGTGACCGCGTAAAGACCTTGAGGTCCGCCTGTAGCGCCTCGAAGGTGGGATACAACCGGTCTTGGGGAGGGGGCAAGAGGGCCATCTGGAAATTGGGTCGTGCCGGCTGTCCCTGCTGCTGTTGTTGGCCGGACGGGCCCGGTTGGCCCTGCTGGACTTGTTGCTGACCTGCCTGACCATGAGGTTGTTGCTGGGACTGTGGTTGCTGCTGTTGGCCTTGCTGAGTGCCAGTAGCATTTTGGGTTTGGATGGGCTGGAGTTGTTGCTGAGTGTATTGAGTCTGCTGATGTTGTTGGATAGCGGGATTACTAGTCTGAGCTTGCTGGGGCGGCTGCTGGAAGGTTTGATATTGGTGCAATTGTTGTTGCTGTTGCTGCATTTGCTGTTGCATTTGAGGCTGGGCCGGCTGAGGAGCCATCTGCATCTGATGCTGGTGCTGGCCCATGGCCGCCGTCTTGGGCTGTCCTCTAGGCATTGTGTATGATTGATAGTCAATAATGATGCACAAGTTGATGATCTGGATGATCGCAACGAAGCGCGTGTTTAGACAGTGCTCTTGGGGCCCTTAAGTTAAAGGCTTTTGTGGTGGCAAAGCGTGCGTGCGCGTGTACACGAGGCAAAGGCAACGCGCCCGAGTTCGTATGTGGCAGGATGCATCACCGCTATTTGCACTTTCGGCTGCGGGTAAATTTCCATCTTGCCACCTGAATCAGTATCTTATCTGCGGGCCGGCACACCCCCGCCCCTGCTTTCGGCTTTCGTACCCCTGAACGGATCCAATGGTTGTTTCTTGCTTCTTCCGTTGCTTTCCTACTACACTACGAACCTCCCGTCTTTATCCTTCATCAATCCTACAATCTCGAAATTCAGGCTGTCCGTTGACATTCTCAAGTTCTGGATCCAATGGTTTTCATAGGACCAACGTCGCATATCGTTTTGTCACCTGTTTTGCAGATGTGAGGCGACAGTTCAGTTGCGTTCCGTGCTGCAATGTTACATGTACGAGGTCCCTTGGCTGTACCAGTCTTTACCCGCTGGTCGTGGCTGCATTGATTTTGGAGCCAGCATGTTATGACTCTGCCTTCTTCAAGAAACTCCAACTTCTTTGTGAATCTTTTGGCAAAGGTACCGTCTCTCTATTAGGTACACCCGCCCTTATCACGCCAATCAATGCTTGCTCCCAATTGCCCTCATCAGCTGTCCCTCAAAGGCAACCCTCCTGTCATGGCCACCCATGCCCCGATATTGCTTTTTCTGAGCTGCAGGTGCATCCAAACACATCCAAGTCGACCTTGGATTTCTTGAAGTTTTGGGGTTTGAACTACCTCTGCCTTTGCCGTGTCAGCTTGGTTACACACCTCTCGAAGGTCTCGACTGATACTTGCGGCTGAACCACTTACATGGAGGGACCACCATTTATGGATCGTTGTTGCCTACAGCCTTATCAACGTTCCATCTGCCTTCGTTTTCGTATTGTGCTTTTAAGACTTGTAGTGTCCTTTCGCTTCCCAATTTAAACAGCGCGTTCATGCCCTGGACGATCAAGTACTTCTTCCTCTTACGAACGGTATCAAGTAAGACCGGAGAAAGATATCAAAATCATCTGTCGACGACTCATCACCCTCATCGACAGGCTCAGGCGAGGGTTCTCCGGTCTTCTGGCGACCGAAGAATACATGTGTTTCATCAAGGGCAGGGTGGTTCCCAAAAACGGTAACCTGCCCAAAATCCCGTCGACACCATCAGGTACAAATCCCCAAATCTAGCCTCGCGGATGTTTAGTCGCATCAAAACTTCAAACTTATTGTCCAATGACTTCTGGATCGTCACACCAATTCTGCAGTCAGCAATACGCAGTTTCAGCTTGACCGACGAGATCTACGGGAAATAACACCGTCGAGCTTTGTTGCAGAGCCTTATGGGCGAGCTTAACCAAGGTAGTATCATGTGGACGGCAAGCATCATGGCGTTGAAGTTGGGGATACAAAAGACATGTTTCCGTCGTCCTTCTCCTCTGATATCTTTCTGCAATACACATCTCGCCCAATCACCCAGTCCTGACACTATCATATCACCCCTTTGTGTCGTTCAACGCCCAGCGAGCTGGCCATTCTAAATGGCGTCCATTAAGCCCAAGATAACGTACCAGGACATCAAGCAAGGCGTAGAAGTCCTCTGGAGCGCCGATGACCCCGCCGTTGAGTGAGTCTCACATCCAAGCCGCCTGCCTTCAATATACGCCCTACTGAAACGACGTACAGTATTGTGGCTGTCCCCGGTCTGGGTACAGACCCCAAGAATTGTTGGGGTTCAAATGTCGGAAAATCGAACGAGTTCAACTGGCTCGACCACAAGGATGGACTGAAGAAGGACTTCTTACACAGCGGTAAGGAGAATAATAGGATTGGTGCCCGTGTTCTTCTATACCACAGCGAGTCTGCCTGGTTGGGGAGTCTCAAGGTCAAACCCGAGCTTCATCATCTCGCCTATGCCCTTTTAGAGGGCCTTAAGGGCGAGAGGAAGGTATGCGGTGTCCAAGAAACTGTCGCTTACAGACCCAAAATAATACTGACTAGAGTCTAGGAAGCTGAACGTCGTCCTATCGTATTCATCGGCCACAGCATGGGTGGTTTGGTCATCGCCAAGGTATGATAAATGCTTTGTACCTGTTGTCAAATTATCCTCCAGACAACGTTAACACGTCCATACATTCATTCTAGGCCTTGTGCATTGCACGTTCCAAACCCCGTCTTTTCCCCAACATCTTGGAAGCGACCACTGGCGCCATCTTCTTTGGGACTCCTTTTGAAGGCACCCCTGCTGCGACCTTTGCCTCTGTGGTCGATTCTGTCGGTAGTATCCGCAATGCGACCGCAGGATCCTCACTGCTCGATCTGATGAAGCCTGATAATCTCGTGCTCAAAGAACTCAGGAGAGACTTTCTCTCCATAGCACAAGATGACACCGTGGGCGCAAGTATGAAGGTGTTCTGCTTCACCGAGGAACAGCCGATCAACCTGGAGAAGATGTCACGAAAAGTGTTCGGAGTGTCATGGTTCGCTCCCAATGTAAGTGATTTGGCTCATTAACCCATTCTTAGTACGCTAACGCATACGTACGGATGCTAATTTCATTACCTGTGCAGGTTCTGTCATTCAAAATGGTGCCAGAAAAAAAGCGCCAGACTTGAGCCATATGAAGCCATTGCCTTGGCGAAAAACCACTCCAACATGATCACATTCGACGGATGGAAAGACCCTGCATACAAACTGATTCGCGGACCGATCGAACGTATAGTCCGCGCGGCCCCCGGTATTGCTAAGTCCCGGTTCCACTCTGTGAGGGGTCACGAGAGTGAAGTCACCGCTGTCTTGGACGCTCTGGAAGGAGTCGTATCACCCAAGAAGATGTACCATGATTTGCAGAAGGAGGTTCAACTCTCTGATCCATCTTGGATTCTGAAAGAGAAGGAATGCGTTAGTTGGCTTAACGTCACCCCTGACAGCCCTGCAACAAGGTGCCTCTGGATCAGGGGCACAGAAGGAAGAGGCAAGTCATCAGCCGTCGTTTCGATCATCGACCAGATGAAGGCGGAAGATGGCAGCAGCCACAGTCAGCCACTATATGCATTTTTCTTTTGCGGCTCGTCTCACGACACCTTGACCGTTGAAGATATGCTCAAGTCCCTTCTCTATCAACTCATCAAAGCTCAGACCAGACTCTTCGCACACGCCAAACACTTTGTCCGCTCCGAGGGTAAAACCGCCACCATGACTCTCACCTTCGAGAATCTTTGGTATAGCTTGTTGAGCATCTTCTCAGATTCCCTGGTTGATAAGGTGTATCTCATCGTACACAATCTGCATGATCTCCCACAATCATCGGACGGAACGAAGAAGCTTCTGAAAAAGCTGCAAGCCGAAATATGCCCACCCGGCAACGCTGATCTGGGGCAAAGACAGAGTAAAGTCCGGTGGCTTTTCACGAGTCATCGGAGTAACTTCAGCATTCAGAACTCGTTACGAGGTACGCAGACATACGAGATCAACTTGGATGACAAGGAGAAATACAAGGACCAGGTTGGGAACCAGCTCCGCAAGCATGCCGACAATCGGGTTAGGAAACTATCGGACGAGAAAAAGTACAACAGGGCACTTGCATACTTTACGAGCACCCTCATGGGGAACCGAGCCCAGGACACCGTCTGGATTGATATCACCTGCCTCCGTTTGGCCCAAATTCCACCCAATACGAAAGAAACCAGAATTAGGCGTGAGCTGGCTAAAATCCCGGAAGACCTGGACCAGCTTCTCGACTCGATTTGGTCGAAGATCTTGAATGCCAATGATGACGACACCGAAGACGTGAAAGAATTGCTGCGAGTACTCGTTCTTGTTAAGGAGCCTGTTACTTTGGGTGAGTTGGCAATTCTCACAGGATTCACCATCGATGACGTTCAGCAGTCACTTGATAAGTGCAGTCTTTTGGTCAGAATCCATGATAGAAAGGTCGTCTTTGTCCTTGAAAACCAAGTCAAGGAACACCTGTTGAAGAGGTCCGAGAAGTTGCTGCAGGTCCGAGGAGAAGAGGAGCTGAAGTGGCAACACGGAGTTTTGGCATCTAGATGCTTTATTTATCTCGTTGAGAGATTCCAGTCCATCGAGGACGAGGTGGTAGCGCGCCAGGACAAAGCCAAAACATCCGTCCAAGCAACTGCTCCGGAGACCACCCATAAGGAGCTATCTTCAGACACTGATGGACCAGCTAGCTCTGATGTTGAGCAAGAGGACTTGCCCCAAGCAGCAGACATGTTAACCCCAGACCACATCGACAGCGGCGGAGCACATGACGGGGATTGCCTCCTCTCTGACAGCGAAGACGACTCGTCAGTCAAGCCCCCAGTTTTGGAGGAGAGCAACCCATACAAGCTGGACCTTGCAACGTTGCTCTATTATCCGATCAAACACTGGCTCTACCATTCCAGCTTGGCCACGAAGGAATTCGCGGAAAGAATAAGCAGCGAGGATGAGTTTTGGTCGCGCAATTCCATCTTTCGCAAGAAATGGTTATGGGCGTATGCGGCTATTGCCAAAGATCCGGCCTTGGGGCTGCTTAAGTCTGAGAACTTCACAGCTCTCCATACGGCGGCGTCCCTTGGTTATCCTGACCTCGTGGCGGAATTGATGGCTAAAGAACATGAAGACGAGAGGGACGTGCGCGATTCCATGTTCAACACTCCGGTAAGTAACTCCTTAACTTTGATTCACTGCTTTGTGGATGACATTTGCTGAAGGGCGATCTGGGTTATAGCTCCACCTTGCCGCCTACTGGGGCCGTACTGCGATCGTTGAAGAACTGCTGAGCAAGAACGCACCGGTGGACGATGGAGTCAAAGATCATCATGACACGCCCTTGGCTATGGCTGCAGCGAAAGGACAGGTAGGGGCCATGTCAAAACTTCTTGAATACGGCGCGGACGTGAACGCCGTGTCAGAGGATTGGGGTCCCATCATCAACTGCGCCATATATTCGGGAAACAAAGACGCTGTCGCCCTCCTTGTCAACAATAAAGCGATTTTGAGTGTCTCGAAAATGTCAGGAGAGGCCCAGTCGTTCAACATCCCACCTCCTCTAAGCCTTGCCGCTCTTTGTTCCGACCTAGAAATGTTCGACTTCTTGCTCACACGATGCCACGATGATCTCTCAACTCAAGATTATGAGACAGCGTTCGAGTGGGCCAGTCGTGCGGGCAACACGGACGTCATGGAAAGGCTGATCTTACTACCTGAGTTCGAAGCCGAAGACCACGTCTTTCAGCCTGACCTCGACGCTGCGGTTGAAGCGGAGGAATGGGACAGTGTCGAATTTCTGGCGAAAAATGAAATAAGCCGCGAAAGGGCAAACTTCGACGAGGCTGTCATTGCACTTGTAGAGGATATAGATGACAACCTGGGCACCCTGGAAGTTATTGGGGACAATGCAACCGCCCACCTTACCAAGGAAAAAGTCAACGAGGCTTTATACATCGCAACGGATAAGGAAAAAGCGAAATTAGTGAGTCTGTTGCTCACCAAGTTTGAGGCAGATGCCAATGCCACTGGGCCAGAGTAGGTTTTTAGATGGAGAACGCTGAGAAGAGTCATCAGTTACTGACATAAGTACTAGGTTCGGGGATGCACTGACCGCAGCTGCTCATGATGGCACCACTGACATCGTCGAAATGCTTCTTCACAAGGGAGCAATTGCGGACTCGCCTACAGGCTGGGCTCTTCAAATTGCCGCTGCTAAAGGCCACAAAGATGTGATGCGGTGCCTCCTGGACGCACATGCGGATGTCAATCGTGTGATTGACGATCCTCGGTTCCCGCCTTGTACTGCATTACAAGCGGCCTGTGAAGGCGGATATGACGAGATTGTCAAGCTCCTGCTCGACAACAACGCTCACCCAGACGTAGGAGGCGGCCTGTTTCGACATCCCATCATCGCGGCTGCTCGCTTTGGATATCCCAACATCTTGAGCATGCTTATCAAGAAAGGAGCAGACGTCAATGTCAAAGGCGGCTCGTCGAACGAGTCTCCGTTGATATTTGCGGCCTCTTCTCTCGATGTTCACTCAGTCGTTGAATTGCTGGACAATGAAGCGGACATTCACTACGTTGACGACGACGGTGACATCGCACTCATTACCGCGGCATTCTTTGGGGACGCTGATCTGGTCAAGGAGTTGCTGAGGCGAGGTTCCAACGTCATGCATATGGACAAACGGGGCGTGAATGCGCTCCAAGCTGCTATCATGAGCCAAAGTCTTGAGTGCGTCCAGGTTCTGGGAGACTGGATCTCGCTGATAATGCTTGGTATCCAGAAAGCCGTGGATGCCGGGGATGAAGCACCTGTTCAACAAGTCCTCGCGAAGACTAGGGCTGAGCACGCTCAAATACGGCGGGAGGTTGTTGAAAGACAGGAAGCTGCGTCTGAGGACTTGAACGGGTACGTGATGACTGACTTCTCCATCAACGAAGGCATCGACATGGACGTAGACGATGTAGCTGCTGGGCCTCACGGCGTCCACGACACAAATGGTGCCAGTGGCATCAACGTCAACACCAATTCCAGGGCCGAGACGACTCATAATGAAGTGCATCACAGAGGGGCTGGTGCCAATGGAACTGGCAGTGGAGATGAAGGTCAAGAGGATGACATTGTGCAGAGGACAGCACAGCTGCGATTGTCAGGGGACGGTTCTCGAGGTATGCAAAGGGGCTGTGGATCCAACGCTGGCGATGGATTTGTCGAGAACAAGGACGAGGATGATGATGCGGATGACAACGACGAAGAGGGTAGAGAAGGCGAGGAAGATGAAGGAGGCGGAGAAGGTGAAGAGGACGAAGATGGCGAGGGCGAGGGTTATGATGCTGAGTATGGCTATAGGGTGTAAGTCGTTTCTTTTCTTGGGCATGCTTTTTTTTTTGGATTTGATAGCTTCAGATATGACACCCTTTCGACAGCGTTTGGTTGGGTATATATAGGGTGTTGAATACCAGATGTTGAGTACTCAACGGTCCAGGCATTGGTCAGACGGGTGCTTTGGGACCTGACGAGTATCAAGCTTACTTTCGTGCTGTCTTAAAGTTGCTCGTTTGGGACTTAAGTCACGGACCCAACTTGAAGTGAGCCTGTCAAGCTTGGTCGAGCTGCGCTCATAATGAACCCTTCAACCGGATATGAGGCCAGTTCATGTTCATGATGACGGAAGCACGCAATCTCATCTTTTTGTGGCTTCTAAAATCAATCAGCGACGAACGGCCGATATCTCATTATTTGAACCACGACACTTTCAAAACTGGCAGCTCGACCAAAAGTTTAACGAGGAGTGAACATAGAGTGTTTTGAACTGGTGGTATAACCGGTATCGATCCTCATGCAGTATTCTAATATATGCATATAGCGGAGTACCCTCCAATCGAATTAACCACAATACTTACTTTCCACTCTGGGCCTTCTCTCTGCGGGAAGACCCCATCGCCCCGGATCCGAACATCCTCACCCACATGGACCGGTAAACCACCATCGCGAAACAGGTGGAACTCAGCCCTACCCGAGACCCGCGTATGTGATACCCTTGGGAAAACTTACAAAGCTCACAGGTGGAACAGTGGAACAGCCCTTTGCAGCAGGGTGCATGCAGTGAGACGCCAGTCAACCCATTCAGTATTGTCGAATATCAGGAAATCAACCTGCACTCACTTCCACCACACACACACATTACTTATTTATCGGTTGCGCAACCTTAAGTCGTGACGCACGACCTAGTGTTTTACCCTGTGTGGAAGTCACCAGGCAATCAATGTGTGATGATGATGGACGCCTCTCAGCTTGATTCTCAGCCTCTCTTCTATTCGCCTGCACTTCCCTCGGAGCTGCTCTGGTACATAATCCACCGATGCAGTTATCCCACTACTTTGATTGTTTGCTCAAGTCGGTTGGAGTTTCTTACGGCTTTGGCGAGGGATATTAAGGGAGGCCAGCAAGGAGAGGAGGAGCAGGAGTCGCGGGGTCAACGGCGGGAATGGCAGGAACGGCAACAAAGTTTACACCAGGTTTCAGAACAAGGCACTACTAGTTCCAAAGATGAAGAAGCTCAAGAGGCGCCGATACAAGGACAACATCCACCAACTCAACCACGATCGCCATCAAGGAATAACTGCCCCAACACAACTAGCAGCAAGATAAACACCAGCACCGGCCCCGGCTCCTGGACCTCCTCCCAATTCCTCGCCTCCCCCCTCTACCAACTCGCCGTAGCACGACACATCCGCACAGTCTTCATTCCCACCGTTTCCCACCTGCGCGCCTTTTTGTCTGTCTTCGACACCAATACCACTTCCAGTGCCAACAACAACAACAACAACAACAAACAACAACAACAACAACAACAACACTGGACTGCAACCTCTCTTGACAACAACAACAACAACAACAAAAAAGCTCCTTCCGTAACTAAGGTATTGGCAGAAGAGGGGTCTTCGTGAACAATCCCGCCCCTCCGTCGACGTACGATTCAGCACCAGTGCAGCTTGGCAGTGACCAACAACAAAAACAGCGTCAAATAATAGTATACGGCCTCCTATCCCTACACCGCGATTCAAGCGAGTGGAGCGTTCAAGGACTGAATAACACGTTATCTGTGTTGTTAGAGGCTGGGAGGAGGGTGAGGTTGGGGGTTGGGGTTGTTGAGCCTGTTGAGTATGATGATCAGAAGAGCGATCTGAGGAGGAGGAGTATGGATGATTTGCTGGGGGACAAGATGCCGGTTGTGAGTAGGAGTGCTTTGAGGGGTGCTGCTGGGGCTGGGGATTTGCTGCTGGAAAGAAGTGTTGCTGGGAAGACGGTGGATGTGAGGAGGGTGTTGGGGCGGTGGTTCCGGTTTGGGATTGGGGAGTGGGGGATGGAAAGGGAGAGGGAAAGGGGTTATTTGAGGAGCTAGGGGTGTGGGGAAGAGAGTGAGTGAGAGGGGACAATATACACAGCACAACAGAAGAGACGAGTTTGTGATGCTAAAGAGTTTGGGGTCTCATTCAGTGTTAAAGAACTTTTGGTGGCTTCCCTTTGAAGAATAAAAAGGGTGGGGGGGAAAATACCATAACCAACTTTCCCAACCTGCCGGGGAATAAAACCGAAACGCCATTCCATGGTATCCATGCATTGCTCCAATAACCTCCTCATATGCCAAACAGAACTTCGATACTTCCGCCGTGAATCCAACGCGGTGCGATATACTCCACGTTAAATAAGAACAAGTGTGCGAACAAAGGGTATCGAAACGTATCAACCAACAAAGACGCTCGCTCAGATGGCCTGCTCCATCTCGGTAATGTACAGCTTGATGTGTGCCTCCATCTTGAGGTACTCGTCGTGGGCGGCGTGGACTTCGTTTTCGATGTTCTCTTTCAAGTCGAGCATCTAGTTGAAGGTACCGCTGGTTAGCATTTCTCTCATGTTCTTCTCGCATAATGCAGGCAAAACATACCTTCTTCTCCGTCTGCTCAATCCTTACCCTCCTTCTCTCGATATCCTTGCCCTTCTCCGACCTCTCCTCCGTCAACTTCCTATGCACCGCCCTCAAGTCTTCCATCTTCTCCTTGGCCTTCTGCGCCTTCTCCTGGCTCTGCGTCCGCAACTGCGTTGTGCGATCGGCCCACTTGGCCAATTGCCTCTTGAGCAGCGCCTCCGTACGCTCCACCTCCCTGACATTCGCTCCCCGCTCCGTAAGCGCGTCTCTTTGCCTTGCGTTCTTAACGTTCTCCTCCTCTTCCTTCGCCAACTCAATGGCGATCTCTTCCAACAGCTTGATGCACGAAGCCACGTCGGACGACACCACACTGAACGAGTCTGTTGACGTCTGGAGTGCCCTCGACCGCCTATCGAGCGCATCGATGTGTGCTTTGTCGTTATTCAACGTGTTGCTCAACTCTGCCAAACTAGCTTGCAGCGCCGACGGGCTCTGTAGTACATAAGGCCGTAGTTTCGCGCTCTCCTGCTTGAGCGCAATCTTGGTAGCCGTCTTCTCCTCCAGCTCCGCCGCCAACTCGCCCTTTTTGGTCTTGGCCTCCTCCAACCTCGCAGCCACCTTCTCCTGGCTTCGCCTTAGTTCCAGCAGCCGCTTCTTGAGCTCCTCATTGCGCACCGTCTTCTCCTGCACCAGCACCTCCATCGCCCTGCGATTGTGTCTCATCTCCTCCAGCTGCGCCTCCATGTTCTGGTTCTCGACATACAGCTGCTCGATGCGCGCCTTGGTCTGCTCGGCCTTGTTGCAATGCTCGTCGATCACGCTCGTCTGGCTCTCGCGGAACCGGACAAAGTTGATGACATAACTCAGCATCCTGACCAGTCTGTCGTGGGTCGGCTTGTAGAGGTCATTGAAGCTGAAGTCATTCACTCCGCAATCCAGCATCAGCCTGCGCAGCGAGACGTAAAAGCCCAGCAAGTTCCTCGTGTCCGACGGCATCATGGCCTCACCCAGTTCGGGGCCGCAAACGTCCTCGGCAGCCGCGCGCATCGCCGGGTCGACCGTCTGGCGCGTCTTGTTCATCAGCAGCTCCCCGAACCACTCAAAGATCATCTGCACCTGGATCGGGTTGGGCTTCTGCAGGTCGGCCAGGGTGAAGGGGATGCCGAGCTCGTTGATGCAGCCGACGATTTCACGGTCGGGCAGGCGCATGTTGGCGTAGGCGGCTTCTTCTTCCTTTTTGCGCTGCCGCGATTGTTGCGGCTGCGGAGGCAGGATGGACATTCGTGGGTTGAAGGCCATTTTGGATGGCCGTGGTATGGTAGGTGGTGTGCTGGGCACAAAGGGGGATTCGGACGGGTTCGTGGTTCGTGGTTCGCTCGAGGATTTCGGGGGTTTTTGTTTGTCGTCGTGGATGTGGATGTCGCGTAGATGATGACAATGGGTATCTCGTAAGGATGTTGAGGGGTGTTTCAGAAGGGTGGCTTGTCGGCGCGTGTCCAGACGCGTCGTTAGACTCTTGTCGCAACTTTTGGATGGGGTTGAAGGTGGTGGTGTTGATTGAAACCCATGTCATAGTGGGGTGGTTGCTCCGGAGACGCTACTGTGCCGCATGTGCTGCTTAGATGCATATCTGGTTATGGCGGTAAATCCCCGCAATACTTGCACCCTTTTTGACGTCGATCGTTTCCTCGTCAACATTTTCCTCTTGTCTTTCCCAGAGTCATCTGAAGTTCTCCTGAATGACATGTCCGATATCTGTACTCATAGACCCACAACCGCACAACCCGACCTTGGGTTCACGAACCTGAACACGGACTTCACTCCACGACAGACGCCTCGGATCCCTTCATTGACTCGCCCCTACCAGTACCAGTCACTTGGAACGCCTTTCTGGGGAACAATATGATTACCGGAATTTCCTATACAGCACGAGAAACGAAACCCACCATGACCGAGATGTCCATGGTCCAATTGTCTACTGCAACAGACATTCCTCCAGCTCATTGGGCAATCCCCTCGGCCCTACAAGATATTAGACCGAACCGAACACAACACAACCATCCATCAGATGATAGATGACAGATGATATGTTCTCTGTCAAGATCCGTTTTTAATCCAATTCCCTGGGAAACTCCTCAATGTTAAAACCGACTGCGTACATGAGCACGAGCATGGACATGGGCATGATGGACATCGGGATATTAGGTAAGATGATCTGCATAATACATATACTTACACGTGTAAGAAAACGGATACTCCCGAAACGTTGGCACAGTTTTTCTCGGTGGCCCGTAGATTCGGAAAGTTTATGTAAGGCGCAGATCAGAGAACCCGTTTGCAGCTGTCTATCATAGTTTTCTGGATGCTGGTTTACTCAGCCAGGTGGTTGCAAGAAAAGACTATACACTAGACATGGACTCACCAAAAAAAAAAAATGATCGTGTGTTCGGTACTTTTTTTAAAAAAAAAAACACCTGCCAGCCCATTCCGTTTTCTTCAAGTGTCTTCCTCAGCTTAGCAAGAAGAAAAGACCAAGGATAGATAGAACCTCGTGCAAGACCAAAGCAGTCATCATGCAAGTCTATATTGCCTCCGAGGCCCAGACACTTCAGTCCAGGATACAAAAACCAATGACTGGGGTGAAGTCCATCCGGTTCCTGCATTCCTTTGCAGTAGTGGAAGCAAAAAGCAGCAGCAGGAGTTTTTATTGTCGCTCGCATTCGCATGCCTTGACCAAAGAAAACGAAACGTCTATGATGTTTTGGAGCCTTAATCCCAGTTACATATCACGAAGACGGAGTCTCAAGTATAAGCCGTAACGACACTCTGTTGTTCCCGAGGTCCATCGCGGCAACGCAATAGCGACAGAGTCCAGGTTTGATCTTTTGAGGCATCACCCGCCAGTTTTAAGCTCGTTTCAGAGAATGGAATAGCACATACGACCATAGATGGTA